GGACAAGCCTGCACAGACTGTTTATACTGAAAGCAAAGAGGTGAATGATAGTACCAGACAAATTCAGTCGCTCTAAGCCAAACAAAAAACAAAAACAAAATGCAATTTTGAGACAATTTTAATATTGTCATCTAGTCTTTAATAATACTTAAATCACTAAAAGCCTGAAATTTTCCAAATAAGATGGCTTCTTTTTTCTTTGCTACATAAACCACACAGGATAAAACAAGTCTTCTACAGACAAAATATACTTCATTATGCTCCCAGGTGACGCTTCAAGGTGGAGACAAGATGGGAAAGCTTGATTATGTCAGCACAAAGGTGCCACAACCAAGTCAAATATTTTGTTTAGGTCCTCAAAACGCAACTTGTTCATCTGATAGCAGCACGCAGAGTAGGAAAAAACAAACAGACTGATAACTATTCCGTCATTTTGAATCCAAGAACAAGGCTTTACTCAAAGAAAGTATCTTTAAATCGATTACCTCATCCTCTTAAATCCTGTTGCTCATAAGAAGTGATCAACCTGTACATTAGCTACTCTGAAGTATCCACAAATTAAAGAAACTTAAAAGCAATGTTTGAAATGATTAAAACTAATGTCATCCAGGCTGCACTTTAGCTGTAACATATCTTGGTTGCAGTTAATCATTGCTAATCAAAAGGTATTCTCATCAAAACTCAGTGTGAGATAGGTTTGTCTGCAGTTACAACCAATAATAGCTCATTTAATGCCATTATTAATGATTTATTTTTATTATTAACTGAAGTTACTTAGCATGTTTTACTGAGCTTACTACTGGACTTTATAAACTCATGGAGCCAACCTGTGCAAACAGGTGATTTCCATTGAATATCATCGCCTTATCTCAAAGAAGTAATCAATGAAATCACTTGTGGTTTGACTTTTATTTGCTCAAGTTAGTGCAGGTTTGGACCCAAAATTAACCGATGCCTTTAAACCCTGATGAGCTGACATCTTAAAGGACACATTGGTATGAATAATATTGGCAAACCTGCATCAAAGTGCAGTATTTGTATTTCGGTAGTTTAGTTCCTGGTCTTAATTATCATTTTACCTTATTTATATATTTGTTTTATGGACTTATAATGAATGCCAAAATGTTGTTTCCTGGAATAGTGTTGCTCTCAGCTCTCATTTAATTTTATTACTCCCCTGTTTATTACCTTTAACTTTTTAAAAACCATTTTACTGTCCTCTTATTGGTTTTAATAACCACTTTATTAAATATCTGTTTCTTCTGTGGATTTAACATGTACATTTTTAGCCTTTTTAAAATTGTATTATTGTTGCTTTTGCTTGTTTTTAAATCAATAGTCGCATTTCATAATATTTTATTACTTTGTCTGCTTACATTTGTCTATTGATTTAGTTTTATATCATCTATGTAGTGCTGTGCTACAGACTCTGTAGTAGCTTAAGCAGTATATTGTGCAACCGACTGGAACCAAGTCAGTCTTGCACTAGTTAATTATTCAGATATTTTTTGTTTTGTTTTTGTTTCTTTGGGGCTGAGGGACACCAAAAAGAAAGAAAGAAAAAAAAAAAGAATTTACAATGTAAATATCATCAGTACTGACAAGGTGAAGGTTTGCACCCCATATTTTTAGTAAGATGTAAAATCCTGCAAATAGTTGAATAAAACCTTGAAATCGTTTCACGAAGCCTTGGCTTTTAGGGACATGTGCTGAGAGACAGCAGATTTCCCCCCCCCCCCAGGTGTTATTCTGAGCTGAGGCAGGCTGGGGCCATAATCACACAAGGCTGCCATTCATGTCACCTGACATTGACAGGTGGGTTACTGCCACCTCCAGTTTGCTTTCTGGACAGCAGAAAACGAAGCAGCTGGGGAAGATGGGCTGGTTATCAAATGTCAATTCATAAGACTATGTTCTGTATTGATATTTGCCTCAAAGCAAGTGAAGACAGGAACAAGAAATTATCAATGCGTTTAATGAGAAATAAGCAGTCACTTCTTATGGTTACTACTAAATACATTTAAAAAGGTTAGTCATTTTTCCTATGGGGTAACACAGGCGAGATCAGTGAATCACATCCGGTATGCAACACACATCCACCTCTTGACAAGAGCGAATGTAAAGAGGGGCGTAAAATAAACGACAAAATAAGTTTAACAACACATTTAAATCTTAAGGTTTAAGAAAAGTAGCGTGTTAAATATTTAAATCCAGCTTTCCTTTGAAGTCGTAGACGAAAACAGGGCAGGTTTAAAAGGAACCTGCTGGCAATAAATCATTTTCTATGTCGGGTACGTCATCTCCTGGCTTCAAAAATAGCCCTAAAAACGGTAAAGCACGGTCGGAAAATAACAACCGGCACTACAGGAGACGACAAAGAGTGTGAGAGCTCTAAAAAGGGGGTAAATTAAGCTAGTTTTCAAGCTAGGAGGTTATTTATTAGCCAACTTCCCAACCCCCCACCCTCGGCCTGTACAACAGAACAACAACAATGGGTTTGGACTAGTTGAACCCGTTTAGCACATTTCATCCGGATTTACTTTTCAGTTCAAGATAGCGGGTTTAATCCGGTTTCTATCAGGTTTAACACTTACCCCCAAAATCCGCAGGGACACCTGGGAGGTAGAGTCGGAGGTTTGCTTCGTTCACTAGTGTCTCCCATGACTTCCAACACACACACAAACACAGGCACCCACACGCGCGCGCACCCACACACACGCACACACAAAAAGCCGATAAGGAAACGCGAGGCTGGGGATGAGTCCGGGGCCTGGTCGTTCAATGAGAAAAAGCCTTCAACGCTCAAATTACACAAAACGATAGCTGTCCAATTCCTCCGAAAGTCCACACATGGGTAAAAAATAAATAAATATCGCGTCGGCAAACTCGCTTCAGCCACAAAAAGCCTTCCGTTAAGTCAAAGGAAACGGCTTAGTTTGAACTGGAATAATTGAACAGCACTCAAAGCAATCAGCTGGATGTTCGGACTTTACGACCGACAAACGACTGGAGGGGGGCGTTCCGGTGTTTCAGTCGACACCAAAAAGCTTAAAATGAACACCGCCCGTCCACCTATACGAATAAAACACAATTATGGCGACGTTAAATGTGTGGGAGGGTGCGAAAAAATAAAAAATAAATAGACTGAGCAAGGCCTTCCCCTCTTGACAGTTGAGGACCACCCCTATTCACACGTCGCTGGTATGAAGTATGCTAGGCCGGAAACGCGTCCATCAAACCAGAAATGTCAATATTGGCCAACGAAATGATGGTAAAACAGTATGAACTAACACCGCTTCTACACGGAAAACATCCAGAATAAACACATATGCCAACATTTCTGAGTCGCCGTGTTTACTTTTCTCTATAATCCTGAGTGTTAGTATTGGAAAGGCAAGTGTACAGCGAGTACTGTACAGTAAGAGTAAGCCATAGATGTACTATAGAGTAAAGCAAAACAATGAAGCTATGGACTAAAGCAATAACAACACGTTTTAAAACTACAGTTAACACTCTATATATTGTGAATTGTCTTTTCAGTATTTGAAAATGTGGATTGTTATATTTAAAAACATTTATAAGGGAATAAGTGAAATAGCAAAGTAAAAGCAAATTTTATTCAAGAACTTCATGAAGGTAGCATCAGCATGAGATGCCTTAAAAACATAATTTCTTTACTGTATTGTTTTTTACTGTTAAATGCAGTTAAAGATTGCATTTACTGAAAATCACCCCCAATATATAGTGCACTGTGCAAAAGTCTTGAGCAACCTTCATTTCTTTATAACTGCCTTCCACGGAGTTACCTCTATTTTTAGGTGGTCTTGAGCAATATTTCTCCAGCATTTCTGAGGTCTTTCAAAGTTTTTCTTTGGGCATTGCCTGCTTCTGCACTCAGTCCAGTCCTCGCACCTGACAAATTTAAAAGGAATGTTTTGTTTCTGTTTTTTCAAGCTTAACACCAACCCATGACTCATTAAAACACAATGACTCTCTAGAGATGACAACATAGCAAAGAACCAGTTTGAAATTTTATCATTATCATACTAGGAACCTGTTGCACTAGTGTCACTCATGGCTGTCGCAAAGACACATCAGAATTTCCCATTTCTTTAGATGCATCTACAACAAAGAAACAAGGAAAATTTTGATTGGCAATATATATATATACATACATACATATGTATATATATGTGTGTGTGGGTGTGTTTGCTAAAGCCTCATCAGAGACATTATCTGTTGAAGGGCCGTTGTCAAGAAACCATTGCTAGGGATGGGAAATGGAGAAAAGGCTGAGGTATGCCATATTATACAAGCCTTATGGAGTGACGGAAGGTCAGGAGAGAGTTACAACATTATCTATTAAATTATCTATTACCCCCTATGTAAAACATAGGGGAAAGTCTGTCATGGCTTGGGGCTGCATTTCAGCCAGTGGTGATATTATCAAAACTGATGAAATTCTAAACGCAGAAAAATATGGTCAGAATTTGATCCATGTAATATCACCTGGAAAACAACTGATTGACTCCACTTTTCAGCATGACAATGATCCCAATCAGTGATGGGATGGCCTTCCCAGAGCCCGGACCTCAGTGTATGATCATCTTGACAGAGAACAGAACGGAAAGAACTTTCAATGTCCCCCCAAAAGCCAAGAGAATTTTCTTGAAGACTTAAAGAAATTACAAGAAAGCTGCCTAAGAGAGTTCAGGATGTGTTAAAGAATAAATATTAGACACACCAAATATTGACTTTAATGCTGGTTAGAACTGTACAAACTACGTTTTTACCTTATATTGCTTTATTTCCTACTTTCATAGCAAAATAAACAAATGAGGGGTGTCTCAAGACTTTGTACTGTTTCACAGTAGTGTATATACTGGTTAGTAACCGAGTCTGTGGTCCTACGAGCTGTAAAAACTCCTTGGATGCAAGTTTCCTACCTGCTGGAATAAACAGTGCAACTTTTCTCACTATGAAAAACAAGACAATAAAACTTTTGATTTTCAAAACATGACATTTTAAAAAGTTTTATGACAATAACATCTTCATAGGCAGCCGTACACATTAACACTGCCCACAAAGCTGGTGGGGCATCAGTGCCCGGCCCATTAATGTTACACGATTATCAATCAGCACCATTTGGTGTGTAACAAAAGCTCTCAATACTTAAAACCAAAGGTGGACTTATTGTATTGCTTGAATCAAAGAGCTTCACTGTGTGTAACAGCAGCGATTCTGACTAGCAGGTGTGTGTGTCACCCTCTTACAGAAACAAAAATCAACAAACAACATCGGCTTTTTTTGTTGTTTTTGTTTTTCGTAATCACATTTTTAACAGGCATTGAACACGAGGCAGTGAGATGCAGTCACACATTGATGGTGAAAATAAGTAAAAGTACACATAAAGTTAGATAAGGTATGGAGAGTACAACCTGAACAAAGCCCTATTTTTGTTCTCTAGTTATTAAGGAAGACTTATCAAACTAATGGGTAGTTGTCTTAAATGTATTGGGATGGTTAAAGAAAGCTTACAGAAACATCAGTGAGTCACCTAAGGTAGATAGGTATTTCAGGTTATGTAACAGCAAACAAAGGGTTTCCAACAAATGATTTTTTTTTCTTCTTTTTAAATAACGTAAAAGTGCAACATCAGGACACAAAGAAAACACAGCACTGACACTTCATTAAAAAAAATGCAAAAAGAACTGAAATCAAAAACAACCCAGAACCACAAAGATTTTAAATTAATTTAACATAAACAGCAAGATACCAAATCCAGCACTCCAGTACTCTACTTCAGTCAGAAGACCCAAGCTACAACCCTTATTTCTGTATACTTGAGTAAAATAAAGTGCAGATGGAAGCTGCTCATGTGTCTACAGTATAAAGTTAAACTTCAGCAGCCCAAGTGCAGCCAAATTTGGTCCTCTAAGTCCCATTTCCCCCCCAAGCTAATTGATTTCCCTAATCGTGTGTGTGCGCCAACCTATTCAAGTGCTTAAAATATTAAATTAAGACACTCAGTTAAATCTTGGTTCGTTTTAGTGAGATCATTATTGAGGTATGAATTTTAGCTATAAAAAAAAAAGAAAAAGAAAAAAAAAAAAGAGAAAAGGTCACACTGCAAAGTTTAGATTGGGTGTCAAAGCCTGCTATCAAATACGCCACAGCTATTACTTAATATGCAGATAGATAATTGGATTAAATGCCATTTGGATAGAAATGTCACCTAATGCATTAGCTCGACAGCTTTGGCAGACCTTTGAACTATTTACTTCCAAAGTTTGAAAAATACTCAACTTCTACTCTGTTAGTTGTGATGGTATGAAAAGTGAGTAGAGTCAGTTTAAGACAGTTTCTTAAAAAAAATAGCTTAACAACAGTACTTTCATTATTAATCGTACGATTAATGCATAAAATTCAAATACCACCCCCCCACCATGGACTTACTGCTCTTTGATAATACAGTATAAACATGTTTCAGTGTGTGCCTAACCTTTAGAGAAAGATTTCACCTTCATATTTTTTTTAAAGGATAAAACTTGAGTCTTAGTTCCTAAAAAGTACCTTCATATAAACGCAGGAGATATGATATCTAATGTTGAGCTTCAAAACTGGGAAGACTGGAGCCCTAAATGCTGTTGCTACCAATACACCAGTCTCTAATGTTGCACATATGACAGACGGACTATGGATTATGACAAAGACGATCGCCTTAGCAGTGTTGTTGTAGCAGTGCTGTCTGAACAATGAAGGCTGTGCAAAATGGCGTTCTGAGGTCCCCCCCGCCCACCACTCTCCTTCCTCTCAACATCTTCCAATAAGGGGACATTCTTAATGATGGGAAGAGGAAGAGGATGAGGAGGAAGAGGGCTGGGTGGGCAGCAGGCTGTGTGTGCGTGAAGGTCGTTGAGGTCGCTGCTGCTGTTGCTGCTGCGTAGTAGCTCCAGAATCAGAAGAATCCAAACCCGGGCTGCCTTCACTGACCTCTGTGTCCAGCTGGGCCGGACACTCAAAGTGCACGCAGTGGAACACCTGCAGAAAGATCAGGGTAAAATATGTAAAGGAGAAATCGATACACAAATGACTGTTTATCTCAGATACTGGACAAAAGTTAGTCTAATATAATAGATCATTATGGGAGTGACAATTAGCCACTGTGAGTTAACCCCTTTGATTGTTTTTGGTTTTGTTTTTTTAAACCATCACCCGGCTCATTTTACAATTACAAAATGAAAACAGTTTCAGAAAAAATTGAAAATGAGCTTTATGGGCAGGAGTGCACATAAGTGGTCCACAGGTGCAACCACTTTTCTGAGAACACGCGCTTCTTTTCCGGTTCGGACTCCTTTTGATAAAGCAATTACTTTGGAACACCAAAGCAATTGCTTAAAGGAGCTTCTTCGACATCTTTAAGAGCTCTAAACAAATGTCTGTCCTCCTCCAGAAAATCTTATGTACGCAAATGCGCGTTGCAACTTCTTATCTGGTACGCATCTTTTATTTTGACAGCGAATGCACACCTGCGGACCACTTATGTGCACTCCTGTTTATGAGGATATTTGTTTTATGGAAGCAGCACAAAGCACTCATAAGGTACTGCTGTCTGAACAAAGACAGAAAAATCAGCTCCACCTACATGTTACCATGTGCAATTCACGTTACTGTAACTCCTCAACCTTTGGGCTGGAGAGAAAATTCAAATAGTTCCTCGTGTAGGTGGCCTGTATGGTACTTGGGTTATAAAGGGTTAATCATTCAATTCTGGCTGTTTCTCAGATGTTATGGGGCCACCCGCTACTTGCCAGATCTTCAGCCCCATCAGATCGCAGCATCCCTCTCTCTCTCTTTGTGACATGACGAGATAAAGAACCAATGGCCACGCTAACCAACACGACTCTGTGGTGCCCACATCCATAAAATGGACGGAAAGCTGTGTCCAAGTAAACTGGCACATAACCACCCAACTCAATGTCTAACTGTTTTCTGTAAAGGTGTGAGGATGTTAACTATCGAGGAAGAAGGCCACCGCTGCTAGCATTGCGAAGTTCGCCACACTCGACAAACTTGTGGGGGCGACGTCTGTATCAAAGGCAGAATCTGACTTTGGGAGGAAATCATTAACAGTTTCAACTGGCTCAAAAACACACAAAGAACATTAGCAGACAGTGTTTAACCTCAACTATTGGAATGTGCTAAATGTGGATCTTTTTTTGTCTTTAAATAACATGTATATTAAGTCATAATTTTTTTACATGGTTCAAGAGGAATTTTCTGTTCTTGTTTCTTTACTAACTTAGCTGATTGTAACAGCTACTTTAGCCACCCAGTGATTTTTGAAAAGTACTCTCTGTACAATTACTTGATTAAGCACAACTTATCAAAAGTTTGTTACAATGTAAAAAGAACTTTCAGCTTCTCTAAAGCTAAAGCATTCGAACAAAGAGACAGACGAATGAACACAGACGACCATTTCAAACCATGTTTTCACCTCATTAGCGGTGTTATGAGTCCCAACAATACGGATGAAGGAAGCAGGCTGCTTATCAAACTTCAGTGTCTGCCATGATCTGTAAGAGAAAGCAATTAAAAACAAACAAAAGAAAGATCCTGATTTATCTCTGGTTATTATCAAAGTTTCCAGAGAAGACCCTGAAAATTTTCTATGGACCTCAGGATCTGCTTCATAAGTGTTTGTCAATAACTTTTCATTTATGAATGTTCACATTCGGCTTAGAAGAGCAGCACCTACTTACACACGGATCTTCTGAAAATGAAAATAATCAAGAGTTCCAGGATTAGAAATAGATCTTTATAAGTATTTATTCTCAGACAAAGATGGAATCCAGATGGTTCAAGGTGACTATAATCAGACAGGCCTTTGAAAAGTGATTGTGAACACACAAATCAGCAAGTTTCTCTGCTGGGGTCGAGTTCACGGATTAGTCAAATTATGTAACAAGGAAAAAATTAATAGCAATCAAGAGTTTTTATTGAAAATAGTATTTGGAACAGGTAACACTGAGGTCTTAAAAGGCCTCTCGTTAAAGACTTCAGGTACATTTATTTAAACAGAGGCCGACTGCGGATCCTTCTTTCAATAATGCAGATTAAGCATGTTCTTTAAAGCCTTCATTTATTATAAAATAAAGGCTCTGATTCCATTTTTAACCATTAAAGACACTGGAAGAGCATCGGTAGCTTAAGGTGTGATTCAGAAAGTAAGAAAAGAAGTGAACCACTTACCGACAAGCTACCCTGGTGCGGTCAATCACTTTTGTCCACTGCTGTTGGTTGGTGGAAACTTCAATGTAGTAACTGTAGGAGCGCTCATCGCAGTCCCACAGCAGCAGCCTGAACACATTTGTCTGTGTTAATGCTATTTTACCACAGATTTTTAAATGACTCCAATGATAAGAAGCTGTTGTTAATAACTTATAGATATTAGGTACAGTACATGCAGAATAAAATTCTCCAGCTCTGATCTCTCCAACAATTATTTCTTTTTCTTGTATACGATTCAACAGAAAAGCTTAAATAAAAGTTTGTCACTGGATGGAAACAAACACTTTATTGTAGCTGTGATGGAAACGTTTGATTTATTACAAGTAACACAATAATGACTTCATCACAGCTGCTGAGATTTGAACTCAAAGCTAGTGCACACTCACCTCAGTGATCCGATAGAATAGGGCTGAGCTAGCTGGATGACGATGGCCCCAGAGCCCAGCTGATGACAAGTGTATCCCGAGTCCCAGTCGTAGTTGCGGGTGTCACCGTTGAGCAAGGCATTTCTGCTGCGACTCACACCCTCGATGACGCTAGCGCAGGCAGCTATAGTGGCCACATTCTCACTGGGCACTGCAGACATTACGAGCAGGGTTAAAGGCTTAAATTACAAACATGAAACCCTTTCTATCTACACAAAAACACTGCAAACTACACATGCAGTGCAGACTGTCAGTATTTTGCTGCTTACCCACAAGCCCGTTCTCCAGGGTGAACGAGCGGTTGGTGAACATGCATTCAAAAGCCACGAGGTGGAAGACCTTGTTGACCGTGTTGTGTGTTCCTACAATACGAACATATCTGAAACACACAGGAAATAAATGAATGACTACATGAATAACAGGTTATATCTAAAAATCTTCAGATAAGCACAAGTACACTGACACTTTTTATTGCCTCTTATGTTTTTAACACCGCTTTAATTTTATTAATGCTCATCATCTGATTCCAGTGAATTTTATTGTATTTTATATTAATGAGACAGTTTTCCATCCAAATGCCTTTCTCTACAGTGAAGCGCATTTAGTACAATTTGGATTTTGTGAAGAGGAACAAAACTTCTTACAACATGGCCATGTAACACAAGAACACAAATATTAACACAAGCATTTGTTTTACAAAGTACCAATTAAATAAACATTCTTTTGACAACTCAGTTTCAGGTTTCTCTTTAGGTGGTGATATCAATTTCAAACAAGCATATCACTATACTTACTTATATTTTCACTTTTATGGTGAATTTAAGACGATTAGAGAAAGAATGATGGTGTAATTCCCATTACTGGCAAGTTTTAGTCATATCTTCTGACATCCATTTGAATGTTTTGGCTCCATTATCTTTAAAAGGCATGGCAACACATTACTCAAAATCAGGAGTGTCAGGAACTTCACGTCAGTGTGTCTGGGAAGGACAGACCAGCTACTGGCAACAACACTATTTGAACTCAGCCAGCTCGAGAGGTATGCAAAAATACTTATGCTTCTGTCATCACACGGGCAAACAAGGCGGTTTGTACAAATTAACTAACTGTAGCAACCCAAATACACACCCTAATTGTACACGAGATTAAGGCAAGTCATGACAGAGCACAAATAAGCCCCTTGTGCAAAGCCAAAAAGATGGCAAAAATGGAATGGGATTTTATAGCTTAGGCCAGGGATTAATAAGCACTGGTATAACTGGAAGCCATATGATTTTGGTTTGGTTTACCTGCAAACCCGGGGTGCGAAGTACAGATTCTGCCACGAGCGGCAGAGATACTTGGAGTGGTCAACAACACGCACCCAGTCCAGCTCATCCATTGACACCTCGATGTAGTATGAGTAAGACCTGTAACAGTCATACAGGACACTAAGTATACAAAGCACTTCAGATTTAAGAGGGAGGTTAAAAATACAAGTGCATAAGAAATGAGTTTGACTCTATAATGTGCTTTAAAATACACATTTTGGTCTTTTTTTTTTTTTTTTATTAAGAAGCAGCACGTCTTATGTAGTCAGCTCTAATTGGCCCACACTCTGCTTGGACCTTTTTATCGTTTGTTTTATCAGGATGAGCAGAGAATATTTTACCGGCTGTCTCTGTCCCACAGCAGCAGGCGGATGTGGTTGATGATGGACGGTTGGCCCAGTTTGACCTGAATCCCAGCTCGGCCGTCCTCTTCGATTGGGTGTCTGGAGAAGCCGTGGTCCAGGTCGTAGTTCTGGGTGTCGCCGTCGAGCAGCGCTGACTTCAGCTCTCCTTTCACTACCTGAGCTCCGTATTTCATGGTGGCGATGTTCTCCTCAGGGACTGAAAACCAAGATTTGACACCATGAACGAAAGCACAAATTAATGCTTTCAAGAAGCAGATAAAAAACAAAAAATATTCACACATTACAGTTTTTAACTGCAGCTTGATGTGAACGCTAATCAAACAAAGGACAAAGAAGACTGACTGAGCATTCCCCGGTAGTTGAGGTCCATATTGCGGCTTTCAGACCGGGCCTTAATGGCGTCCAGCAGGTCATCTGGGCTCACGAGGCTAGACGGTCGCACCACATTCAGCATCTCGGTCAGAGTCATGAGGGGCAGCCGCACTGCAGACATCACCTCGTAAGTGTGCTCGCCATCCTCATGCTGCCGGCACCAGCGGCACAACGCTTGGAAGATCTCCTTCTCACTGGCAGCAAATGAGTCCCTCCTGACCACAGTCAGCAAAGCATTCTGCAGACACAGGTAATAAATTATTCAAGGGAAGGAAAACACACCAGAAAATTCACAAAATGTAGTGCTTATAGCTTATCTTGTTTAACCACATTTTATATTACTGTAATGGCTTTTTTTTTAAAATTTAATCTGTAAAAAAGTAACTAAATTAAAACCTAACTGCCTTTAAGAAGATTCGAGGGGGTAATTCACCATCATGTGTGACCTTTCTGGGCTAAATTATGACATCACTGTGTAAAAGAGAACAAAGTGTGGCAGAATAATATAATAAAATTAATGAATATAGTTTTTTTTTTCTTCAAACTAAAATACAAGATGGTTAAAAACAGATAGAAGGCACCTTAGTACTCATTTTACAATCAGACTGGTCAAAGAACAAAAACCAGGAAGATCAGAAGCCCTTTGATTATTTATTATGTGAATGATTTTAATAACACTGATTTTCAGGACTGCAACTTTCTTCTGTTTTAGGGTTCTGATGGACGCAGGAGTCTACATGTCTCTTTAGGGTTAAATAAAAAAAAGAAGGTTTAAGCCTTTAACAAAATCCTTTTTTTAACTGATAACTTATTTGATTTTACTTTTCTCAGCCACACACACTTCATTGTTATCCCTGCATATAACATATATAGCTGTTTTTATGTGAAAGTGACAACACTTTTCACGTAATATTTTATTACTGATACATGACTGATACAAGACTTGGATCCATACCAAAATAATAAATCACAATTAAAAATTAATAATTCATTTAAGATCACTTATGTATACCTTTCAGATATCTATAAAAATACATTTTTAACCTATGCAGAAGTCCTGCTTAGATAACAGTTGCCATTTGCTGAGCAGTGTTGACTGTCTTTTGTAGCTTCTGCTAACTACCACTAGAGGTCACTGCATCTACATTTTTAACAGAAATAAAGACTAACACAAGAATGAAATAATACCAAAACCTACTACAATTCTTCTTCCATCACTCTTACCTTGGAGAGCGTGAGGAAACCTTCAGAATTTAGCACTTCAGGTGCGTGTCTGTCCATGTAAGTACAGCAGGCTGCAGTGAGCGCGCTCAGAGAGTACAAGCTGGCCACGTCAAACACCAGACAGACATTGTTGGTATGCAGGATGGTGCGGAGGAAGTCAGATGTGGAATCCTCCAAAGGCTGGAGCCCGTAGCGGTGAGCCAAGCCCAGGAAGTCCAGTAGCACCTCTTCCCGGGCAGAACTGAGGCTGGCCCGGCCCGTGTACAGGTAGTTCAACAGCATTGAAAAGGCTTCAGCCCGAGTCTCCTCCAAACACACCTCCGCCTGCGGTTGTGACTCTTTCATCCCACCGTATAGCAGGGCCCTAAAAGGAGGCAGAATATGCAAAAGTTTACATTTTTGTTTTTTATTATTTTTTGCCATGAATAAAACCACGCAAAAAACAAAAGATCTAAATTCTGCTCATTGAATGAGATGCACTTTAGACAGATTAGATAGTCCTTTACACCAGCAGGATTCGATGGCAGTAGGGAACATAAGGTCTCTAGTTAAAAAACAGGAATGAGTTGTGGAACTAGTAAAAGATCAAAGTGACAATCGGGAGTGGAGTATGTTATGCTACACCCAGACCACAGTCCCACCATGCACAGTGTCAATAAGATCACAAGGACCACAAAAACATGGAAAAAGATGCCAGTGAGGCCCCAAGAAAGATGACTTGGACAATCAACCACTGTTGAACAGGCATTGTTCAGTGGAAAACATATTTCACACCTTATACAAGGTGGAAAAGCAAAAATAAAGTGATGCTACAGAGGATTAAAAAAGGTATATTTTGTATTAGACAGATTTGGGAAAGGAAGCTTTTGAATAATTTAGTCATTTTAAAAAAATTAAAGATATTTTTTTCCAACTAGGAGTTTGAAAAAACTTTGTGTTGTAAAATGATCAACAGGGTGTCTTTTTTTTCTTTTCTTTTTTAAAAAATTGCCAGTTTGTCATCGTAACGTGAGTTTTTTTCGGTTAAAATTAGTATTTATGTTACTCACTATCAGGTGTTTCAGGACTGGAATTAAAAAAGGCGCCAACCTCTGGCTAAGAGGCATTTAACTTTACCTGAAGTAGTGACAGCGAGCTGCCAGGATGACCCTGTGCGCTGGGAAGCGCTTTCCCTCCACGATGAAGGTGACATCGCTGTACTCCTCTCCGAGCACCAGGGCTCCGAGCTGCTCCGACAGCAGGTGGATGTGGTCGATTTCCGACACGGAGGCCAGTGGACGCAGAGGGTGACTGTTGCTCATGGTCGACGGCTGTCAGAGTTACATCTGGCACAGGAATGCACACGTTAAAACGAAAGCAAAACAGGCAGTGACGGAAAAAAAATTAACCTTATGTTAGCTGAAGGTAAATGCTAACTGGAATGCACTGAAGGAAAATGGCTTCTGTAATCAAACACCGCTGACGTCAAATCTCATATTTTTAAAGTGTACGTTAAAAACACTCAGTCAGCAAAGTAAAACGACAGCAGTGAAAATACGATGTGAATAAACAGCTAGCTCGGCTGTGTTGTTTACAGCCGCTGGTGTCGCGGATATTTTGACGCCTCGACTAATCGTTAGCTCGAAGCTAATTAATGTCTCTTTTCTCGCTTTAATCTGTGTTATAAACTTACTGAACAGCAACCATTAACTCCGGTATTGAGATAAAGTCGATCTCAAACACACAGTCGTTGTTATTTTTTCCAAAATGCAGGAAAAAAATCAGCCGTTAACCCCCTAGCTCTTCCAACATTACACCAGCGGAAACCTCTTCGGGGGCAAAGGAAGAAACATCCGGTTCAGTTAAGATAGTTTCAAAATAAAGGCTCCCAACAAAGCGTGTGTATCATCACATTTAATAGTTTTATTTTCATATACTTGACAGTTACATTTTTAAACATTTTATTTCAAAAAACGTATTGAAAAACAAAAATCATGAGATCATACTGTACATGCATAAACACACTCAGAAAACATAAACATAAATACTGAAACATAAAAGATGCAAACTTCTAAGGAAAAAAGGAAAATAAAATTAACAATGTCAATCACTGATTCTAAAATAAAAATACTACATAGCAGCAAACTTCAGGGTGCACGGATTTATCGACTAATTCGAAAAAGTTGATTATAAAACATTGTAGAAAAATTCTATGCTTTGATGCTTCCTGTAATGCACGGCTATGTGTGCCGGTGTGTTAAAGATGTAGACGTGGGCGTTAAACTCACAGTTGCAATACAAACGTATTCAGGAGCATGTGAATAAAACGAGTGTTAAACAGAAACACGGAGAACACACCAGCAGCATTAATGATGACGCGGCCACAGTTTAACGTGGAGCTGGAGTCTGTTTACACACCGACAAAAGCAAAGAGCCGTTACCGAGACAGTGAGCTCAAACAGAGTGAAAAACGTGTGTATAGCGTCCAAAGGGAACCGTGTAGCTGCTCCATCCATCGCCCTTTATTTTACACTGTGTAAAATCAGCAGTTAGCCTCCAGCAGTTGTATTAAAATATTTAGATGAACTGTTAAGTTAACTTAGTCTGATATATGTTTATGTCAAGGACTGCGCTGGCAGACCGTGGGGATGTGGGGAAATAGGACCCAAAACTCAGGACTCTTCAGTGTAGACAGTGTATTTACTTGATATTATTTATATATTTTTTGCATTTAATACAATGTTTTCTTTAAAAATTTCAATTTCAATATGGCATATAAATATAATCAAAGGGTTTTGTTGGCAGGGTCTTTGTATGCAGTTAAACTTTAAAACATTGCATTTTCTAAAATGTAAACCAATGAGCAGTTTATTCTGAAAGATGTCTGTTTTTCTCTCTTTTGAATAATTAGAATAGAATAGAATAGAATAGAATAATCCTTTAATTGTCCCACAAGGGGAAATTTGGTTGTAACAGCAGCCAGAAAGACACGTATACAAACAAACAGTACACAGGACACAGAACAGAAACATGCACAATTTTTCTTACATATTTACATATGGACAATGGTTACTATAAACAGAGTACTGTAAATTGTTGTAAATTTACAGTAAATTATTATTGGCCATTAATAAAACAAAAGCATTTCTTATCCGATCACTCGATTAATTGATGGAAAGATAGCTGCAGCCCTAACATACTTTAAAGCTAATTCTGAGACTTTTAATATTAACTATTACATTTTAGTAATAGAAATAATAGAATAAAATAATAAAGGGCTATAGAATTCCAAACAGTCTGACCATAGTCACTAATTTTCATGATCTATCATAAGTGACCCTGTGAATGTGCATTCTGTAGGCTGTTCAACAACAAAGAAAGCAACTAAGGCAATAATTGAGACATTTGATATTGCTGTGTTCATTTTAGGCATAATGAGGACAGATGATAAACATATCCCCTATGAATTCCAAATTAAAAATTAATATTAATCCACAAAAATTATGCCATTTTACCTGCAGGTGGCATCACAACACGCTGAAACAGACATACCGCTCATTTCATTGTGTCTCATGGAAATGTCTCCAAAATAACAGAAAGGCCTAATCTATCTGCAGTGTTACTCATGTGTGCATGTAACTTCCTTCTTACTTCCTTATGGTGACATGATTCATATGGCCTTTTGATTTTCAGAGTTTCATTCATTCAGTCATTTTACTTCTTTTTTTTTTCTTAATTGCCTCCATCTCGCCCCATCCCAAGCATCCTCTTCTGTCACACCAATCCCCTGCATGTCCTCCTGCACTGCATTCCTAAATGTCCTCCATGCAACATTATTTATTCTGTTCTTGTAAGTCTTATATCCCTGACCCAACCCATGATTCCATTTCATTTCCCCTTTAAATATTAACGGAAATAAGACAAAACGGTTATATCATTATACACGTTAATATCTATTTTTTTTTAAATCCATTTTCATAAATTACTGCCAATTTACAGGGACTCACACAGCTGAGTTGTTGCTTCCTCTTTTTAAATTGAGGAAACCCAATTTTCTTAAAGATGAGAAGCTTTTTCACAGAAGCAGCAATCTGATGTTTAAGTTCTCTTTTTCTTTACTTGATGGTAGCATAGAGGCTGCTGGCATCCGTGGAGGAAGCTTTAACAGTGGCGTAGGTAACTGTCTCACCTTCATCACTGTCATTTTTACCCCGAATCTGGAAGCACACAGAGCACAGGATAGTTCACCAGATGTAACACAACACAGTGAAAACATCATTTATAAATGCACCAATGAAGCTGAAACTCTGATCATATACATTACTTTGTTTTTATTGTGGGTCTTGTTGGCATAGGTGATGGAGGCGTAGGAAACACCATCTTCTGGATCCACCTACACAGTGAAGAGTGTTACTACTACTTTTAGCTTACTGCAATTACACATTCTTGAACAAATTGAAACAACAGCTGCTCTGGGTGTGGTGTGGGCAATCTTACTGTTTCCTGGCTGGTTTCTGGTGCACACTTAGTGACTGCAGGGTTTGAGGTCAGGCCCTGAAGAAATAAATATGTAAGAACTGATTTAATTCTGGTCTCTGAAGAATTTAAGCATCACTCGTCTAGTGTATGCGTTACATCTCCGCAGCTTTTAAGTTGCGTGAAATATAAATATATACAGTGGGGCAAAAAAGTATTTAGTCAGCCACCGATTGTGCAAGTTCCCCCACCTAAAATAATGACAGAGGTCAGTAATTTGCACCAGAGGTACACTTCAACTGTGAGAGACAGAATGTGAAAAAAAATCCATGAATCCACATGGTAGGATTTGTAAAGAATTTATTCGTAAATCAGGGTGGAAAATAAGTATTTGGTCAATAACAAAAATACAACTCAATACTTTGTAACATAACCTTTGTTGGCAATAACAGAGGTCAAACGTTTACTATAGGTCTTTACCAGGTTTGCACACACAGTAGCTGGTATTTTGGCCCATTCCTCCATGCAGATCTTCTCGAGAGCAGTGATGTTTTGGGGCTGTCGCCGAGCAACACAGACTTTCAACTCCCGCCACAGATTTTCTATGGGTTGAGGTCTGGAGACTGGCTAGGCCACTCCAGGACTTTCAAATGCTTCTTACGGAGCCACTCCTTTGTTGCCCGGGCGGTGTGTTTTGGATCATTGTCATGTTGGAAGACCCAGCCTCGTTTCATCTTCAAAGTTCTCACTGATGGAAGGAGGTTCTGGCTCAAAATCTCACGATACATGGCCCCATTCATTCTGTCCTTAACACGGATCAGTCGTCCTGTCCCCTTGGCAGAAAAACAGCCCCATAGCATGATGTTTCCACCCCCATGCTTCACAGTAGGTATGGTGTTCTTGGGATGCAACTCAGTATTCTTCTTCCTCCAAACACGACGAGTTGAGTTTATACCAAAAAGTTCTACTTTGGTTTCATCTGACCACATGACATTCTCCCAATCCTCTGCTGTATCATCCATGTGCTCTCTGGCAAACTTCAGACGGGCCTGGACATGCACTGGCTTCAGCAGCGGAACACGTCTGGCACTGCGGGATTTGATTCCCTGCCGTTGTAGTGTGTTACTGATGGTGACCTTTGTTACTTTGGTCCCAGCTCTCTGCAGGTCATTCACCAGGTCCCCCCGTGTGGTTCTGGGATCTTTGCTCACCGTTCTCATGATCATTTTGACCCCACGGGATGAAATCTTGCGTGGAGCCCCAGATCGAGGGAGATTATCAGTGGTCTTGTACGTCTTCCATTTTCTGATGATTGCTCCCACAGTTGATTTTTTCACACCAAGCTGCTTGCCTATTGTAGATTCACTCTTCCCAGTCTGGTGCAGGTCTACAATACTTTTCCTGGTGTCCTTCGAAAGCTCTTTGGTCTTGGCCATGGCGGAGTTTGGAGTCTGACTGTTTGAGGCTGTGGACAGGTGTCTTTTATACAGATGATGAGTTCAAACAGGTGCCATTCATACAGGTAACGAGTGGGGGACAGAAAAGCTTCTTACAGAAGACGTTACAGGTCTGTGAGAGCCAGAGATTTTCCTTGTTTGAGGTGACCAAATACTTATTTTCCACCCTAATTTACAAATAAATTCTTTACAAATCCTACCATGTGAATTCATGGATTTTGTTTTTCACATTCTGTCTCTCACAGTTGAAGTGTACCTCTGGTGCAAATTACTGACCTCTGTCATCATTTTAAGTGGGGGAACTTGCACAATTGGTGGCTGACTAAATACTTTTTTGCCCCACTGTATAAATAACATGGGAGCGTTGAAACATCTGCAACAAACTTTTTTTTAAATCCAGAGTTTAAATAGATAAAATGCAACACAACAGTCACACAATACACACCATATTTGAGGCCTTTAATATAATCTTTTTTGCAGTCAGAGAGAAATTCATCAGTTAGCAGGTTGTCATTTGAAGCATTAATAACTATAAAAGCAAAGCAAAAATGCTTTGTTCCCTCTTTCGTTCCTTTTCCTGATCTTTTGCGGCAAGAACCAGTGAGTTTTAATACAAAACCATTAACACTGTTTATCTTGCTGCATTGTTTCTCATCTAGAGAATACAAAATGTCTAAAAAAAAAAGAAATTTTCAACTCACAGCATTTCCATTTGCTTCTATTTTGTTCCCTGAAAAGATAAACAAACAAACAAACAAACAAGGTTAGATGCTTCTCCACAAAGAAAATTCAGCCTTATTCAGATTTCTCACTAAGAGACATTTAATTTAATTTATCTCACCTTTGAGTCTCTTCAAACAGATTAGTTTCACAGCCACAATTAAAACTGCAACTAAAATGACAACCACAAGGATGTACGGCCACACCTGATCTGCACCTGAATACAAAAATATAAAGTATTTAGTTACACTAAATATTTTTAATTATCTGAGATAATTTAAAACAAATAAAAAACAACATGTGCTTTAAAAAATGATAGATTGACATTCAGTTATTATTAGGAAAAGCAGAAAAGAAAACAAACAAATGACAAAACTCACCTGGGATACTAGGTGCGTATAATGTTGTTGCTGATGTTGTTGTTGCTGATGTTGTTGTTGCTGATGTTATTGTTGCTGATGTTGTTGTTGATGATTTTGCTGTTACTGCTTCTTTACCTGAAAAAAGAACAAAATTCAGCCAGGTGTTTATTGTGTATATCAGTTTAAAAGGATTTTGAAAAGTTCTTCAGAATCTCTCCGGGTTTCTTACCTGATGACTGAGTGCTGAAGGTAAAAAGCTGCTCTTTGTTATCTTCTGTTGTTACGCTACACTTAAAGTCACAAGTTGATATATGAGTGTCTGCATCATTCAGAAAAGTCACAGCAGCAGAGCAGGAAGACTCCGATGTTTTTAAATTTGAGTAATCTCTATCCAGAGCTTCACTGATATGGATCCACTTCACTTTGTGTTTGCACCGTCCATATGTCCACACAGAGCAGTTTAAAGTCACCTCATCAGCTTTCTTGTGTTCAGTCACTGGTGAAGATGAAATTCAAGAGAAATACCAAATAAATATAAGTTTCCTTTTTTCAAAATTTAACTTGTCAGCATGTTGTTCTAACAGGATGGTTTGAGCTCAAAATATAGTGTTGCAAATACTCACTGCTAACAACAGACAGATAAACCACAGCATCTGGACCTTGCTGTCTCCCTGGATTGCCTCTAAACTGTCTGCAGGTGTAACGACCAACATCCTCAGCTGTGACCTTCTTTATAACCAGTGAGCATTCTGCTGTAACACTCAGTCTGTCTGATTTGGCTTTTTCTTTGATTTGTCCAAGATTAACCAGCTCTACTGCTGGTGTGCCTCTTGAATCAGTGAAGAGCCAGGTGGTAGTGTCACAGTTGTGATGATTGTTGATCACGTTTTTACAAGGCAAAGTGACATTATCGCCATCTCTGACAGTGAAGGAGAGTGGAAGATCTCCACTTAGTGCTCCTGAGGATATAACAGAGAATCGAAAATGTTACATTACACGAGTGCAGATAAGTTACACACTTAACATGTATTTACTTTTCATTTAATCTTTGTTTGCTTTGGTGAAATAAACAGCATCGCTGTCTATGCTACATAAAGATTCCATAAAGCAAAATTAGAAAGAAGAGTTTAAAAAAAACCCTTCTCTATTGTACATATTTCTTACCTGTAAACTGCAGTATGAGTATAAAAGGCACAGCCATTTTAATCCATCTAGATTGAACCGCCATGTCTCTCAGTCTCGCTTTTCTTCTTGAGCTTCTGAAACACAAATGTATCTTTTTCCTGTAACTGTGGAGCCATGACTTCCTCATCATGACTTTCAACATTCTTTTCTTACATTTCTGCGGTTGTTCTTATGCAACCGCTTTCATGTTCCCTATTAATAAAGAGCTACAGTTAGTATTAAGTTTACACTGACCTGCTGTATCTGGAATGAAAATTAGTGAAAACATAGAAAACACACTTTGAGTTTCTGTGCTAAGTGTATTTAATTCAACTCCCAAACATGTTTTTAACCTGTCTACACTTTGCTGTAATTACATACAAACTTGAATGAATGTATTTATATTTATTTTCACATAAGTGTAACAGAATAAGGTTTATTACTACAATTATCATACAAAATTCAAAAATATATATCATGAGGGTACTTTATTTTCATACTTTACACACACACGCACGCACGCACGCACGCACACACAGTGACAGTTTGTTTTCAGTGTTTAAATGACTGGTTATCAAACAGAAACAGCTGATATCACATGTGGCCTTTGTCACGTGTGCTTGTGTTTAGAGCAGTTGCATCACATTAGATCGGTACCTCCCCTGCTTTATTTTGAGCCTACAGCACCCTCTGCTGGACAATAGAACTCATTACAACAACAAACCTGGCAAAAGCAAAAGTCAAGATTCAAAGATTCAAAGTGTTTATTGTCATGTGTACAGAAGAAATAGCATTTCTATGTGCAATGAAATTCTTCCTTTGCTGTCCATAAACAAATGCCAAATTAGGCTGAAGGAACAAGATAAATAAGGATAAAAATAAGACAAGACATTAAGATAAATAAAGATAAACTTTGGCCTCTTGCGCCAAAGTCCAGCATCTGATTGTTGCTCTGTAGGAACATCAGACTTACCTCCCTCTTTCCTTCTTACACATCACTACATCTCTACATGATGTTGTCTACTGAATGCAAACAATTTAGTTTTTTAAATTTTACTTTAGTATACTTATTATTTTAGCCTGTTTTCTTTTACTTGTTCGGCGTTAGTGATCTGATCATAGCCAAAGTAATCCATCACCGACCACTGATAGGCGCAGGGTACTGTTCAACACTGACCAGCGCTGTTTTATCTTTTGGGGACACTCTCCAAGTAAAGGAATGGAAGTGACATCATCTTAAAATTACATCACACATTTTTTTTTTGTTTTTAATAACAGGATGAAGTTATTGTAAGAATTAAACTTCAAACACATGGATTATCTTTAGGCCGTTTTATTGTAACACTGAGGGCTGAGGAATTTCAAATTCCCGTGTATGATCTGTACATATGGTTTTTGACAATAAAGCTGACTTTGACTTTGATTAGTTACTTTTCCAATATACAGGTAAAATGAGCCACAAACTCAGTTTAAAAACAATTTCTTTAATTCACAATTACTCAGATTCAAAGTAAAATATTACAGAATACAAAATTAAAATAGATAAATGATGTTATGCAAATTAAGCAGCTCAACACAGAGATACTAAAAAAAAGAGTTACAGTGACATCACACAAAGACATTAAAACATTCTTACCACTTATATTTCTTTAATTGTCTAGACTGACACTGTGAAATACACTGTGTGTACTGCATAGTCTATGTTAAGGGTATCTATTTAGAGTTTAATGCTAACTTGATGGCTAACTATTATACTGCATTACACAAATGTTTCAATGATAAAACACTAAAATGGGCTTTCCCCTTCAAACAATATTATGAATATACCTACTTCCATATATTGGTCATTTCAAGTTTATTCTCAAAACGCTCAATGTGCTTCAAAAAGAGGAAGAAGAAAAGTCCTGAGATTATACAGTGCATGACAGTTACTTAACAAACATATAAAAAAGCTATAGGATCGGTTTCAGATCAAACCAAATTTAATATTAGATAATCAGAATAAAATTCGAAAAATTTTAAGTCTTTAAATTAAGTCTTTATTTATTAAGGGAAATAAAGTCACCCAAGCCTACTATGTTAAATTAAAAATTTCTTGTTAAATTAAAAATTAACTGTAACTGCTGGTTACTCCCAGTTATCATCTGTCTGACAAAGTGAAGTAGATTAAAAGATCCCAAAAGGCAACGCATCATGCCACGATCTAAAGAAACATCTGAGAAACAAAGTCACTATTAGTCTCTAAAGGACTGCAAAGCCATTTCTAAGGCTTTGGGAGTACAGCGAGCCATGGTAAGAGACAATATCCACAAATGGAGAAAACTTGGAACAGTGGTGAACTTTCCCACAAGTGGCCAGCTGACCAAAGAGCTACTCCAAGAGCACATCACCAACTCATCTCATTGTCACAAAGGAACCAAGAACAGCATCTAAAGATCCACAGGCCTCACTTGTCTCACTTAAAGTCAGAGCTCATGATTCAACAATAAGAAACACACTGGGCAAACATGGGAGATTTCCAATGAGAAAACCACTGCTGACCAGAAAGAACATGAAGCCTCACAGACTTTTGGGAAACTATTCTGTGGACTGATGAGACAACAGTTGAACTTTTAGGAAGATCTGAGACCTGTTACACCTGGTACAAAACTAACACATTATTTAATAGAAAGATCATCACACCAACAATCATACACGGTGGTGGCAGTGATGTGGGGATACTTTGCTCCTTTAGGACGACTTGCTGTAATTGATGAAACCATAAATTCTGCTCTCTACCAGAAACTCCTGAATGTCTGGCCATCAGTTCATGCCTTGCAGCTCAACCTTACTTGGGTTACACAGCACGTTATGCAAACAATAATAAAAAAAAAAACATTCACAGTGATGTAAATAAAATTTTTTCAGTTATCACAAACTCTCGACTGCCAAAGTAGATTTGAATAAACTTTCCCCTTAAAAATGAAAACATCATTTAAAAACTGTATTTTGTATTTACTAGGGTTGTCTTTGTCCAATTATTATATTATATTATATTATATTATATTATATTATATTATATTATATTATATTATTATTGATGATCTGAAACATGTAAATGTGACAAATATGTAAAAACCGAAATGAAAGTTGAGAACATATATAGACAAGATAAACTTTCCCTCCATCACTGCCAAATCTGACATGGCATCAACTCCCGAGCAACTATTTCATTTCACCTGCAGATAGTATCACAACACACTGTAATAAATGTATGTAACAATATGTTTGTTTAATTGTCGTGCCAGCTTTCTCTTTTTCAACTGAGCAACCCAACAGCTCTTTTAGATGAGAAGCTTTTTGTTTACTTGATGGTGTCATAGAGGTTGCTGGGATCCATGGAGGAAGCTTTCACAGTGGAGTACGTAACTCTCTCACCTTCATTTTTGTCTCGAACCTGGAAGCACACACAACACAGGAAATATAATCACATCTCAGAAAGTAAAGAAGAATAAAAGATCTCCACTTAGTGCTCCTGAGAACAACACAGACAAACAAAAATGTGACCGTTAAATGTCTAAGCACAGATTATTTATACACTTACAACGCACGATAAAACTGGAAAAACCAACTGACGTTTTTAATCCTTCTGTTATAAACATGTTCATTTTATTTTTACCTATAAACTAAAGCACAAGCATAAAAAGCACAGACATTCGAATCTGTCTGAATGTAAACATCATATCTCTCAATCTCTTTTCTTCACGAGTTATTGACACAATAATTTAATGTTTTGCTGTAATTATACTGTAATATCACTTCCTCAATGTGAGTTTCAGCCTTCTTTCTCACATTTCTGCTGTTATTCTTATGCAATCAGGCTGTCACAGGTCTCATGTTCCTCATTTGGTAACATCTAGAGTTGGCATTAATCAATTAGGATGGTTCTCAGGAGGTTATGATGTCAACTCATTACCTCCATGTCTTGTGTTTTAGTGTATATTTTTTATACAGCACCTCCTTCTGAACAAAAAGGGGTTGTTACAACAACAAATCCTGAAATAAAATCCTAAAAAAATAGAGGAAATATCCTCCTGAGAACCAGCTTATTCATTTATTGTTATTAACTGACATCAATTGTACAACCAACAGGACAGCTTACCTGCGTTTTACTGGTGGTTTTGTTGGTGTAGCTGATGGAGGCATAGGGAACAAGGTATTCAGGTGCAGCCTGCACAGTGAAGACAACATAGAGACTGCTCAGTAATGCTCAGATTCAACATATAAGAGAGCAAATACAAGTGCCGAGTAACTATTTAATCTCACAGATTCCTGAATGGTTCCTGGAGCAGACGGAGTCACTGCAGGGTTTAAATTCAGTTCCTGAATCAAACAAACAAAGAAGCCTCATAAACACAGCAGACTGTAAGCACACCAGGTCAGTTGGGTAAGCTGACAAAAACACTTATCTTCTGGCCTCATGATAAAAAATATAACACAGTAACTGTAGTGAACGGCCGTGGTATGAGTACACTAACAAAGTTTAAGAAATTATGATATAACTCACAGGATTTTCATTAGTCTCCATTTTTTTTCCTAAACAAAGAGAGAAATCAATTCAAGTTTTTAGAATTAAATTTCATTCTGGTTTTTCATTCCATTTGTTCATACAAGTTCAGGCTGGTGAAATCTCTCACCTTTAGCTCTCTTCCATCTGATGGCTATAACAGCACTTATTATCAGTGCTAATAACCCCAGCAGTACAACAATAAACATCCACCATCCTGGAGAAAAAGAAAAGCATTAAGATAATTTCAGCTGCAGATTCCTGTCTGTTTAGTGTCCTGCAGGTAAAAGAGAAGAGAACACTCAGCTATCAACAAATAAATAATAAATCAAATATACTTATTTTTATTTATACACTGTTGTGGTTGTGTTAAGGTCTGGAAACAACCTGCTTTAGTTCATTAAAAGTTCATCCTTCCTGAATAAAATAACATGCTGTCATGTCGCTCAGTCTTGAATACAGGGTTTATTGTTGTTTCTGGGATGTTCATGTTCTTTAGTTTTATATCTTTGATCATCTTTGCATTATGGTTCTGTATTCTGTGTTGCTTTCTGTAATTTCTTACTTTTCACTGGTTTTCTTTCACTTAACTCATATATAAGTTTGTTTGGTTTATTTCTTGCCTTTAGTGCTGTGCTCCTGTTTAACAGTTCTTTATGCTCATTCTGTGTGTTTGGTTTTGAGATGGGATTTATGTTTGAGCTGTTTATAGTCTAATGTTTACGTTCCTGTTATCTGTGACTTTAGTCCCCTGACTGTTGATGGTAGGTTGTTTTTCCCACTTGCATTCCAATTGCGTCCCTCCGATCTTGTCTCCATGTTTGTTTATCCTCTCTGTGTATCAAGTTCATATGACTTAGTCCTGGTCTCATTGTTTGCTATTTGCTGTCTTATTTCAATAGTCTCTGACTGCTAGTGCTTTGTATTTAGTTCTGCTTCCCTTGTCTCTTCTTCTGTGATTGGTTTCAGCTGCTCTTCCACCTCTTGCATTGTTCCTTCATTATGCTGTATGTATATGTTGTATCAGTTTCCCTTTGCTGTTGTCGTGTTCTCCCTAATGTTCTTATGTCCCTGTCCCAGGACCACCCAGCACAAATGTTCTCGAGTATATTTTTTTAGAAGGTTTCTAGTTGTTAGACTATTTGCTCCTGACCTGCTTTTTTTGATTTTGTAAGAGTAATAAATAAACTTTTAAGTTTATTCTTTATCTTCTGAGTCCTGTATTTTGGGTACAACTGCTGCCACACAGCTCGTTCCTGACATATAGCTATGGTCGTGGTCATGATTGTAACTTCACTGAACAACTGTTTTCACTGACTTTTAGTAGGAAGTAGAATATGAAGTTCAGCCTCTTGTGTCAAAGTTCAACATTTGGTTGTTGTTGTGGAAAAGCATCAAACTACCTTCCCTCTTTTCTTTTGTCCCATTACTACACATCTACAGGATTTCTTGTCTTCAAAACAAACAATTTAGTTTTAAGAAATGCTAATGGCATTTATTTATTTTTATTTTATTTTTTCACAGACAGCAAATGAGTGCATTATTTTTTACCATGTAATGAAATGTAATGATAGTTTGTGGACTTTTCCAACAAAAACAACTGAAAATATTAATCTTTTGGACGTGCACTTAGGCAACCTTATTTTTGCTTTGTTTTTGTTTTTTATTGTGAAGACTTTGTGATCCTTTTATTAACAGGTGTTATATGAATAGTTTTACTTACTTTTCAATTCATCTTAGTATTTAATGCTCCGTGTGGTTCTTAGTTTATTTATTCTTGGTTAACATTTGTTCAAGTAGCTTGAGTCTCAAGTCTAGTTAAGGTTATTTGGTTTAGTCTGTTGTTCTTTTTCCTTCCCTTCTCTGTCAAGTTCATATGTTAGTCACTGTCTCAGTACTTAGTTACTTCCTGATTTATTTTGCTAATCTCTATTGTTATTTGGATTGGGTTTAGTTTTTTTACTCAGACCACACTTTCCACATTTGCAATCCATTATGACAGAACAATGTGAGCAAATAATAGACCAGCAGCCTTCAACCCCTCAGAAGTGATAAAGAGAGTCATATTTTGTGTGGTGGTGCCACGTGAGGAAGGGCTGGTGGGGTCTAGCGAGGAGTACAAAGAAGTAGTAGCGCATAAGTAACACAGCCTGATTTCAGGGATTCAATATCCCTGCCTGCTCAACAAAGAATTTGTTGTCACAACCATGCACCTCAACTCCCTGCTATTTTATCTTCTGAAGACACTCTCAAAGTAAAAAAAAAAAGTAAATGAAACCTTAAAACACACAAAATAGTTTACTTTTTATAACAGATGAAGTTATTGTATGAACTGACTTGCATTCTCATGTGTTTCTTGATCAAATGATAGAATCCTGAAGATAAATTCCTGCACGTCTCCACCATGTGTCACTTGGCACTTCAACATCTCAGAACTCTTGGATGTGTAAATGTGATCAAATCTTGTAAAGATCACACTGGCTGAGCAGGCAGACTGTGACATCCTCAGGTCTTTGTTACCATAGAGCCACTTCACAGTGTATTTACATTTTTTATATGTGGACACAGAGCAGTTTAATGTCACTGTGTCATCATCCTTATGTTCAGTTACTGTTAAAGAAAAGAGAACAAGAATAACATTTACAGTAATCATCACTGTAATTATAGTTATTGTAATGTTTCAGTTTGATGTTCAAACAATCTGAAAACATTATGATGAAATACTCACGGTTAACAACAGACAGCTCAGCTACAGAGTCTGAACCTTCTTTTTGTCCTGATTTGTTGAACCTTCTGCAGGTGTACTGACCAACATCCTCAGCTGTGAGCTTCTTTATAACCAGAGAACATTTTGCTGTGACACTCAGTCTGTCTGATTTATTTTTGGCCTCTCGGTGAATCTCCCCGTGTTCAAACAGTGTTATTGTTGCTGTGTTTGATTTACTGAAGAGCCAGGTAGTTCTGTCACATTTATCTCGATCATCTGTCACATTTTCACATGACAAAGTGACCTCACCTTCATCCCTGATAATAAACTCAACTGCTGCTGCTGTGAAGATAAAATCAAATCAATTGTGTAAACTTGACTTTTCTAATTTCATTTATAAATGTATTTGTATTCTTACCTGTTACTTGAAGCATTAGTAAAACTGATGAAAAGACTTTAATCCATTTGAACTGAGTCGTCATTGTCTGTCTTTCTCCTTCCTGCTTTTCACAAAAATGACAGTCACAGTCTCTGAAACAGAGCTTCATGTAGAGGCTGTGCTGACTTCCTGTGGTTATCATCTCACCACCTCACTGTAACTGTTAAAACGTTCAGAGTCCTTTCCCTGAGAATTCTAATTCACAGCATTCTGTTGTTTCTAATAACTACATGAACCAAAGAAAATTAGAGGTCAAAGGTCACACCAGACTGTCAAAAACCCTGCAAATTTAAAATGAGTCATTTGTGATGTGTTTGATGCCTTAAAAAAGGAGAAGATGATACATGCAGTTGTGTAAATACTTACTGCTCTTTTTTTTCCTGAGAACTGAAGGGGAAGTGTTTTGGTGAGAATGTGGGCACAACAGCAGCAGAGCTCTTTTACAGATGAATCTGAGTGGATTTCTGATTTCAGACTAATATACAGCACAGCTTAAAAGAAGCTGTTCAACAGGAGGGAAAGTCTACAATCAACAAAAGTAAAACTGATAATATGATGCTAATGAAAGTTATAAGAGTGTTAGCACACAATGTCCAAAAACAGAGTAGAAGTTTGTTTATTTTAATAAAACACTAGGCAGGCAGAGTGGAGTGAATGCACACATTTATGCACAAGATCCAACACAGGCTCGGAAGCCATCCTTTGCTTTGGTTTGGAAAATACTTTCTTTTTTTTCCTCTGCAAGAGGATACTAGTTGCCATGACTGAGTTTCCATAGCTCCCCTCAGGTTAGTGTTCATTACAGAAGAGACTCCAGCCCAAACACTTATTAAGCTACCAGTTTAATGGGATTTTGTTCTTTGAGCCACCAATGTCCTATAAGTAGAGGTGTGTGTGGAGCATCAAAGGCACATAATTGATGTACTCGTGATGATTTCAAAAAATCAGAAAAAATAAAGATGAGTTCAGTGTGATCTGGGTTCTGAAGAAATTTCAGGTTGTTTAGCTAACTTGGTCTACAAGAAGCAGAGAAATCTCAACAATCATATGACCTCCTATGAACAAGCATACTAAGGGAGGATTCAGGGTCACTTGATTCAGCCCTAACTATATGCATTATCAAAATGGAAAGTTTTAAGCCTAATCTTATACGTAGAGAGGGTATCTGTGTCCTGAATCCAAACTGTGAGCTGGTTTCACAGAAGAGGGCCCTGAAAGCTAAATCTCTGCCTCACATTCTCCTTTTTAATACTCTTGGAATCACAAGTAAGCCCGCAGTCTGAGAGCAAAGTGCTGTAATGTGGTCATATGGTATTATAAGGTCATTAAGGTACGATGGGGCCTAATCATTCAAGACCTTGTATTATTGGTATTCTGATCACTTCCATGGCCACAAGTGTAACAAGTGACGTAATTGAGAATGACAGCAACTCAGCCACACATTGGATCAGCGCACTGAGGCACAGAGGTAGAGTCAATGGCTACTTACTTACAAATTTCATGTAGCCTTCAGATTAGGTCAAGAACAGTGTGTAGAGATCTTCATATTCTGGGTTTCCATGGCTGAGCAGTATCCAAGCCATACATAAGTGCAATACAAAGCATCGGACAGGGCTGGACTTGTAAACTGCCATACAGAGCATTTGTCTAGTTGGCCGACACACTTTTGACCGATGGGTCAATGAAAAGCCTCCGTGCACTGGCGCAGAATGGGAAGTATTAACCCCGATTCTTTTTCAATTTAGTTTCAGTCAGTTTGAAAATGTTTATGTTTTGTCTTTTTAATAAACATGGAGGCAAAAAAAATCAGCAAATTCAATATAGGTATTACACTGTATGTCCTCTGAGAGACTCTTGATGAAACTGTTCCTCAGCTGGGCGATGAGATTATCAAATAATAATCTCATCGCCCAGGTTTGAAGGGTGGTCAGCACCACTGACATACTTTTTGTCAGTGGGAAGTGTTTGGTGAGAATACAGCAGCTCTGGAGGTTTAACCCTCTAATGTTTACCACATATCTGAGCCATAAAGGATTAGCACACTAGTGATGGGATTTCCGGCTCTTTTTAGAGATCTGGCTCTTTCGTTTCAGCTCACTAAAAAGAGCCGGCTCTTTCGGCTCCGAACCGGCTCTTCAGGTTGTTTTGTTGCTTTAATTAATTTATTATTAACAATAATATAAAATTATGCACAAAAGGAATTACTAATGTAAAAAAAGTGGTTTTATTTATATATGTTTATATATAAATATATGCGGTGGCCCCTAGAGACAAAACACGTACAAACTCCAAAACACATTTCTAGCATGAACTGAACTTCCAAAGCAGAGCTACTAGATCACTTAAATGACACAATTGAAAGCATATGTGTGTTGTTTGTGTATTTATACACAAGCATTCATATATATTCAAATAATTTTTAAAAAAAAGTTCATTTACCCGTTACTACCACACACCAAATCCGGTCGTTGGTACTTCCTGGCTTGTGTAGCCACTAGGTAACAAAAGCTCAACACTGCGCCCAGCATCCTGGAGCACTTCTGTTGTCTTTTGTACGTGTTTTGAGTTTTTATATGCTTCTGAGTTTTTACGTGCTTCGGAGTTTGTACGTGTTTTTACGTGTTTTGAAGTTTGTACGTGCTTGAGGGTTTGTCCGTGCTTCAGAGTTTGTACGTGATTTGAAGTTTGTATGTGCTTTGTCTCTAGGGGCCACCGTAATTATACTTTTATTTATTCACTCCACATAAAATGTAATAAATAAAACATATAATACAAAAATCAACTATTCACATTTCAACTTTTAACTATTTAAATTTTCAGCTTTTTCGTTTTACAAATTTAAAGTGAAACAACACAAAACACTGCAAACCACAACACAATGAAATATAAATTAAAATATGAAAAAAAAAAAGACGTGATGGCTCACGATAAGGAGCCGGCTCGCGTCGTTCACGTCAAAGATCAGACTCTAAGAGCCATTTCGTTCGCGAACGACCCATCACTATAGCACGCTGAGTGTGTGACTGAACTGGTTTCCCACCATTTTGAAACACTCAGGTTAGTGTTGAGGAACAAAAATGAACTGTCAGAGCTTGATGTGTACTTGAAAAAGAAGTAGTGGTAAAGGGATGTGGAAATGTTAAAGCACTAGCTGTACATCAACTTCAAATAACGCCTTCAACAATAAGTGTGTGTGTGTCGGGGGGTGGGGGAGGAGGCATTTTCCTATATGGTTATTTCACACTCATGGGGGTCTTGTGGTTCACTTTGGCTTCATCCTTGCTGCTCGTTCAGGGCGGCATAGGTCAATGTGTGCACATGAATACAATAACAATATTTATAATTATAACAAAGTGCAACAATAATTAATGTGCAATAATAACAGTGTGCAATACACATACACTTATTCATAATTTTATTACTATTATTACTATTAACACTTATTAATTTAAGTTACTATATCGTGTTGTGTTGTACGTTTTTCCCAAGGTTATAAATGTCCAGTTACTTCAGTCTGGTGCACGTAATCTCGAAATCCCATCTTGTGCGGCTGGAAAGGCTGCCTTCCAGAATGATTGGTCGCTGCTTTGTCGACCCCAGTCAAACCCAGAAATCACTGACACAAGTTTGTTCTGTTAATTTGAAATAAATCAGTCTTCACAAACAGATTTTCTGAGGTTTTTTATTTGCCGTTGCAAAGACAAACAACAACACAGAGTACAGCAGCAGTCTGTATTTCTTTAGATTAAGAATAAAAACAAGAATCGAATCATTTATAGAAACACCTTATCTACCTGCCACAGTCACAGAATACAGTCAGAACATTACATGCAGCTGAGTACAGGGAGTGCAGAATTATTAGGCAAGTTGTAGTTTTGAGGAATAATTTTATTATTGAACAACAACCATGTTCTCAATGAACCCAAAAAACTCATTAATATCAAAGCTGAATCAAAGGAGCTTGCAAAGAAAAGCGTCTGGACTTCTTTAAGTTGCTTGAAGACGTTTCACCTCTCATCCGAGAAGCTTCTTCAGTTCTAAGGTCAAATGGTGGAGAGAAACTTACCCTGGATCCAGATGAAACCATGGTGTCCTTTGATGTAGTCTCTCTCTTCACTTGCATACCCACCACGGAGGCCGTGGAGACTGTCAGAAAACGACTACAAGAAGACAGCTCCTTGGAGGACAGGACCAACTTCACACCCGATCAGATCTGCACACTGTTAGACCTCTGCCTCACCACTACATATTTCAAGTACAACAAAGGCTTTTACAGACAAAAACATGGCTGTGCCATGGGCTCCCCCGTGTCACCTATTGTAGCCAACCTTTACATGGAGGAAGTGGAAAGGAAGGCTCTTGGCTCTTTCAAAGGAAGAGTACCCAGCCACTGGTACAGATATGTGGACGACACCTGGGTCAAAATCAAGACACAAGAAGTGGAATCCTTCACTGCTCACATTAACGCTGTGGATAAAAACATCAAGTTCACCAGGGAAGACACAAAGGACAACTGTTTGCCTTTCCTGGACTGCGCCGTGCACATTGAAGAGAATGGCAAACTCAACATCGAAGTTTACCGGAAGCCCACACACACGGACCAGTACCTCCTGTTTGACTCCCATCACCCTTTGGAACACAAACTTGGAGTAATTAGGACCCTACACCACCGGGCAGAACATGTTCCCTCTAAGCCTGAAGGAAAAAAGAAGGAACACACATATGTAAAGGAAGCACTCAAAACATGTGGCTATCCTAAATGGGCGTTCTTAAAGTCAGCAAAGAGGCACAGAAAAGAAGACCAGACACCAGCGAGGGAGGATAAGAAGGACAGACGAACAACATTGTCATCCCCCATGTAGCCGGTGTATCAGAGAAACTCAGGAGAGTTTTCTCCAAGCATGACATCCCAGTGTATTTCAGACCCAGCAACACGCTCAGACAGAATCTGGTTCACCCGAAAGACAAAACGCCAAAACACAAACTTAACAATGTGGTGTATGCTGTACAGTGCAGCGAGGAATGCTCAGACCTCTACATTGGAGAGACCAAACAGCCACTTCACAAGCGCATGGCACAACACAGAAGAGCCACCTCCACAGGACAAGACTCAGCAGTCCATCTGCATCTTAAGGATAAAGGACACTCTTTCGAGGATGCCAATGTTCACATTTTGGACAGAGAGGACAGATGGTTTGAAAGAGGAGTGAAAGAAGCCATCTATGTCCACTGTGAGCGACCATCTTTGAACAGAGGCGGTGGTTTACGACACCAACTCTCTGCCATCTATAATCCAGTTTTGAGTTCCCTTTCCAGACGCCTTAACGCCCACTCACATCCTGGGCCATCTGACCTCAGGAATTCGCATGATAAGGTGGGGCCAGGTTTCACAATGAACACACCCGAAACTCTGGCTGATTGGGACCCACACCCAGTTTCACACCTTGGCTCAGGCGATTAGAGGATCATCAGGGGGTCCTTTTGTCCCTCTGTGGGGGGAAACTCCCACTAGGTTTATATCTGGGACTCTCCACCATTTGACCTTAGAACTGAAGAAGCTTCTCGGATGAGAGGGGAAACGTCTTCAAGCAACTTAAAGAAGTCCAGACGCTTTTCTTTGCAAGCTCCTTTGACTACGATGACCTGGATGACTGAGAACCTTCACAGACATCAAAGCTGAATGTTTTTGGAAGTAGTTTTTAGTTTGTTTTTAGTTTTAGCTATTTTAGGGGGATATCTGTGTGTGCAGGTGACTATTACTGTGCATAATTATTAGGCAACTTAACAAAAAACAAATATATACTCATTTCAATTATTTATTTTTACCAGTGAAACCAATATAACATCTCCACATTCACAAATATACATTTCTGACATTCAAAAACAAAACAAAAACAAATCAGCAACCAATATAGCCACCTTTCTTTGCAAGGACACTCAAAAGCCTGCCATCCATGGATTCTGTCAGTGTTTTGTTCTGTTCACCATCAACATTGCGTGCAGCAGCAACCACAGCCTCCCAGGCACTGTTCAGAGAGGTGTACTGTTTTCCCTCCTTGTAAATCTCACATTTGATGATGGACCACAGGTTCTCAATGGGGTTCAGATCAGGTGAACAAGGAGGCCATGTCATTAGTTTTTCTTCTTTTATACCCTTTCTTGCCAGCCACGCTGTGGAGTACTTGGACGCGTGTGATGGAGCATTGTCCTGCATGAAAATCATGTTTTTCTTGAAGGATGCAGACTTCTTCCTGTACCACTGCTTGAAGAAGGCATCTTCCAGAAACTGGCAGTAGGACTGGGAGTTGAGCTTGACTCCATCCTCAACCCGAAAAGGCCCCACAAGCTCATCTTTGATGATACCAGCCCAAACCAGTACTCCACCTCCACCTTGCTGGCGTCTGAGTCGGACTGGAGCTCTCTGCCCTTTACCAATCCAGCCACGGGCCCATCCATCTGGCCCATCAAGACTCACTCTCATTTCATCAGTCCATAAAACCTTAGAAAAATCAGTCTTGAGATATTTCTTGGCCCAGTCTTGATGTTTCAGCTTGTGTGTCTTGTTCAGTGGTGGTCGTCTTTCAGCCTTTCTTACCTTGGCCATGTCTGAGTATTGCACACCTTGTGCTTTTGGGCACTCCAGTGATGTTGCAGCTCTGAAATATGGCCAAACTGGTGGCAAGTGGCATCTTGGCAGCTGCACGCTTGACTTTTCTCAGTTCATGGCCAGTTATTTTGCGCCTTGGTTTTTCCACACGCTTCTTGCGACCCTGTTGACTATTTTGAAAGAAACGCTTGATTGTTCGATGATCACGCTTCAGAAGCTTTGCAATTTTGAGACTGCTGCATCCCTCTGCAAGATATCTCACTATTTTTGACTTTTCTGAGCCTGTCAACTCCTTCTTTTGACCCATTTTGCCAAAAGAAAAGGACGTTGCCTAATAATTATGCACACCTGATATAGGGTGTTGATGTCATTAGACCACACCCCTTCTCATTACAGAGATGCACATCACCTAATATGCTTAATTGGTAGTAGGCTTTCGAGCCTATACAGCTTGGAGTAAGACAACATGCATGAAGAGGATGATGTGGACAAAATACTCATTTGCCTAATAATTCTGCACTCCCTGTATGTCTTGTATTACGAAATAATATGGAGACAAACACACTGAGATGCATCGTTCATTTCAGTTAGGCCTGTATAACAAAGAGAAGCACAGAATCTTAACATTTTCCATCACATTACTGAAGTCTGACAGACGCAGAAGGATCAGTCAGTGTCCATCAGATCTTCTACTTCCATATTTCACTGTCGAAATTTTCATCATTACATACCTGTGACATACAGCATGATGACAAACTCATTCACTCTCTGGACATTAGATTTCAACATGATATAGCTTTTGTGATCTTTGGGCATCAATGTAGCACAAACTAAAAGTGATAAACTGTAAAGACATCCATGACATTACATTAACACCATTAGGCACAAAATGTGATTTATTTAAACTATAATGAACATGAGCATTGAATAAATAGAAGAATTTAACATGAAAACTGAACCCGTTATGAGTGTTGCTACACCCACAGCCACAATGATGAACCTCCACCAGCACCAGCCTGGAAAGAAAATAAAAAACACATTAAAATACTTTAAATATAGTTTTCTGTTCTTTTCTCAACAAAAGCCCCCTCAACAATCAAATGGAAGATTCTGGTTATGTTTAGATAAAATCTATGTTGCTGTAGATCTATAACATCATGAACCTGACTTCTCTTTTTGCTTCTGCCCCCATTACAACCTCTCTGCAGGATATTCCTCAAAGTGTATAAATGCAAATGACATCTTAAAACCACACAGAATAGTTTAGTCGTAACAGATGAAGTTATTGAAAGCGCTGAATTTTATGAATACAGGTTTACTTACTTTTGAATTCTCTGTAGTATTTAATGCTCCGTGTGGTTCTTAGTTTGTTTGTACTTTGGTAACATTTGTTCAAGTAGCTTGAGTCTCAAGTCTGTTTTGAGGTTATTTGGTTTAGTCTTTTGTTCTTTTTCCTTCCCTTCTCTGTCAAGTTCGTATGTTAGTCATTGTCTCAGTACTTAGTGTCCGCCATGATATGTTGAGCTAATCTCTATTGTTTTTTAGATTGTGTTTAGTTTTTTTTGCTCAGACATCACACTCTCCCCATTGAATCCATTATGACAGAACAATGTGAGCAAATATTAGATCAGCAGCCTTCAACCCCTCAGAAGTGATAAAGAGTCATTTTTTGTGTGGTGGTGCCTCGGGAAGAAGAGCTGCTGGGGTCTAGCGAGGAGTACGAACAGTTAGTAGCACTTAAGTCACACGGCCTGATTTCAGGGATTCAATAGCTATTAGATTCCCTGCCTGCTCATAAGGAACACAAGACTAGTGTTTCTCTATCATGATAACGTAAGCCTGATTAAACACAGAACAGTGCTGCTATTTTATCTTCTGAAGACACTCTCAAAGTAAAAATCAGTAAATGAAATCTTAAAATCACATAGAACAGTTTACATTTCATAACAGATGAAGTTACTGTAAGAACTAATTGCATTCTCACCTATTTCCTGGTCAAAAGATTGAATCCTGAAGATAAATTCCTGCACGTCTCCACCATGTGTCACTTGGCACTTCAACATTCCAGAACTCTTGGATGTGTAAATGTGATCAAATCTTGATCACACTGGCTGAGCAGGCAGACTGGGACATCCTCAGGTCTTTGTTACCATAGAGCCACTTCACAGTGTAGTATTTGCATTTTTTATATGTGGACACAGAGCAGTTTAATGTCACTGTGTCATCATCCTTATGTTCAGTTACTGTTAAAGAAAAGAAAACAAGAATAACATTTACAGTAATCATCACTGTAATTATAGTTATTGTAATGTTTCAGTTTGATGTTCAAACAATCTGAAAACATGATGAAATACTCACGGTTAACAACAGACAGCTCAGCTACAGAGTCTGAACCTTCTTTTTGTCCTGATTTGTTGAACCTTCTGCAGGTGTACTGACCAACATCCTCAGCTGTGAGCTTCTTTATAACCAGAGAACATTTTGCTGTAACACTCAGTCTGTCTGATTTATTTTTGGCCTCTTGGTGAATCTCCCCGTGTTCAAACAGTGTTATTGTTGCTGTGTGTGATTTACTGAAGAGCCAGGTAGTTCTGTCACATTTATCTCGATCATCTGTCACATTTTCACATGACAAAGTGACCTCACCTTCATCCCTGATAATAAATTCAGAGTCTTCAACTGCTGCTGCTGTGAAGATAAAATCAAATCAACTGTGTAAACTTGACTTTTCTAATTTCATTTATAAATGTATTTGTATTCTTACCTGTTACTTGAAGCATTAGTAAAACTGATGAAAAGACTTTAATTGTCACGGATTGCCGGGGCAAGCCATGTGGAATTGTAGAAAGGGACCAAAAGGCGGCAGCTCTGGTGCAGGTGAGTGTTTATTCACAGAGGTGGGTAAGTACAAACAACGGTGGCAACAAAACATGAAACTGGAAACCTAAACTGGGTAAACTAATAAGACAAACCAGAAACGAGGATGCAGGGAGGTCTGGAGAAATACATACGGGAAGACGCAGGGAGACCGAGGGGAAACAACACAGACGAACCAGCAATTACTATGACAGAAGACACAACTTAAATACACTCAGAGAACACAGGGAGATTACATACAGGTGGGAACACAGCTGGGAGTGATCACGTGACAAGAGTAGGGAGACAAACTGAAACACTCACATAAGACGCAGACCTTCACAATAAGACAGGAAACACATACACGCAATGACATAACACACCAACTAAACACAGACTGGGGGACACAGAACATAGGAACATGAACCATGAAACAGAAGAGTATAAACACCCAAGGTAACCAAAACCACAGAATACTAATAAACTAAACAAACACGGAGTCGCAGACTCCGGATCATGACATTAATCCATTTGAACTGAGTCGTCATTGTCTGTCTTTCTCCTTCCTGCTTTTCACAAAAATGACAGTCACAGTCTCTGAAACAGAGCTTCTTGTAGAGGCTGTTCTGACTTCCTGTGGTTATCATCTCACCACCTTCATAGCATTCTGTTGTTTCTAATAACTACATGAACCAAAGAAAATTAGAGGTCAAAGGTCACACCAGACTGTCAAAAACCCTGCAAATTTAAAATGAGTGTGTAGCTTATTTGTGACGTGTTTGATGCCTTAAAAAAGGAGAAGATGATGAATGCAATTGTGTAAATACTTACTGCTCTTTTTTTTCCTGAGAACTGAAGGGGAAGTGTTTTGGTGAGAATGTGGGCACAACAGCAGCAGAGCTCTGATGGTGTTAACCTCTAATGATGGCCAAACATCTGTGAGAAACACAGATCTGCCACAAACTGAATGTCCTCTAGACATTTTAAAAGTACACCAAGAGATAATTTGCATTTGCTTTGAATTTTACCAGTATTTGTATATTTGCTGATTTTTTTTTCTTTTACAGATGAATTTGAGTGGATTTCTGATTTCAAACTAATATACAGCACAGCTTAAAATAAGCTGTTTGACAGAGTGAAAGTCTACAATCAACAAAAGTGAAACTGATAATATGATGATAATGAAAGTTGTAACAGTGTTAGCACACAATGTCCAAAAACAAAGTAGAAGTTTGTTTATTTTAATAAAACACTAAGTCCATATATGTGAATTAGCAAAAGTCATGACACCAAAGCAAGAGCAGTACTCACTCACAAGAGCAGGGCATAGAAGAGCATTTGTCTAGTTGGCCGACACACTTTTGACCGATGGGTCAATGAAAATCCTCTGCACACTGGCCCCACACACACTGACAGCAGCCCATTTGTTAATTTTCATTAGCCACAAAGGATTAGCACACTGAGTGTGTGACTGAACTGGTTTCCCACCATTTTGAAACACTCAGGTTAGTGTTGAGGAACAAAAATGAACTGTCAGAGCTTGATGTGTACTTGAAAAAGAAGTAGTGGTAAAGGGATGTGGAAATGTTAAAGCACTAGCTGTACATCAACTTCAAATAACGCCTTTAACAATAAGTGTGTGTGTGTCGGGGGGTGGGGGAGGAGGCATTTTCCTATATGGTTATTTCACACTCACGGGGGTCTTGTGGTTCACTTTGGCTTCATCCTTGCTGCTTGTTCAGGGCGGCATAGGAGAGGGGGTCAATGTGTGCACATGTCCTTGTCTTTCTGTGTGCCACTAGTGGGTGTGTGACAGTGAATGAATGAATGTTGTGTGTGTTTGTGTGCGCATGGCTAGTCGTTGGTCTTAGGCTTGCTGGACCTTGGCCCAGGTGGGACATGGTCACCGCTTGGCGCTGGATGCTTTTGCCCCTCCCTGGGATGCAGATGCGTGTTGGTGGGGTGCATGGCTGTTGGTATGCTTCCTTGGTGGCTTGGGTTGGCCTGGACTTCGCCCTTGTCGGGGGCAGGTTTGTGCTGGGTGGTCCTGGGACCCCACTCTTGATCATATCTGGGGCCTCCATTCTTCTCCTGCTGGAATGGGATCATGGATGTCCCTGGGATGTGTGGCCTCAGATCTTTGTTACTCTTGGGGGCTGTGGATGGCATGTTTGTCCTGGTTCCATCTCTTTCTGCTTCCAGGCTTCTGAGGGGCATCGCCGCAGCTTCCTGTCCTCATTATCATGTACATTTGTGACAAGGAAGCAGGAATTCTCTCTCTCTCACTCACACTCTACAGGAAGAATTTTGATTAATGTATTTGTGTATTTTCTCATTTTTTGTGTTCCAGTTGCTGTATGTGTGGATTTTTTTTGTCTCTGACAGATACAGCAGTTGTATATGTTGTGCATTTCTATTTGTTTCTATTCCACATAATGTAATATCTGAAATAACACAAAAAGATTAAATAAAGGTATAAAAAATGTTTGGCACCACCATGCATTTAGATCACAATTTAAAGCACATGGCACGATGGTGCCATGTGCTGGAGCCACTTGGGGGGCAGAGTCAAGGTTTTGATCCAAACAAAGATAAAACCTAAAATTTCACTGAGAAGATTTATCCATTTCATTCCCAGTGCAGTACATTATAGCTGGGGACTTCAGCCATGCCGACTTAAGGTCAGTATTTCCCAGATTTGAAGAGCATATTAAATGTGCAACAAGGGGGGAAAACACACTGGATAAAGCCTACGGCAACATCCAAAAAGGCTACAGAGCAACCCCTCTACAACAAACACCATTTCACAAACTACAGGCCTGTCTCTTTACTACCTCAATTCTCAAAAGTTCTTGAAAAACTGTTTAAAAACAGACTGGAAAAATTTATAGATAAACATAAACTACTCACTGAGAGTCAGTACGGATTCAGATCAAGCAGATCAACATCATCGGCACTATTAGATTCAATAGAATACATCACAAATTCCATAGACAAAAAGCAATATGTGGCTGGGTTATTCATAGACTTGACAAAGGCATTTGACACTATAGATCATGATATATTAATAAGAAAACTGGAACGTTATGGTGTCAGAGGGGTAGTTTTAGATTGGGTCCGGAGTTATTTAAGTGACAGAAAGCAGTTTGTGAAAATAAATGGTGGTTGCTCCTTATGTATGGACATTGCTTGTGGTGTACCCCAAGGGTCAGTTTTGGGTCCAAAATTCTTCAACTTGTACATTAATGACATCTGTAAAGTGTCCAAAGTATTAAAAATGGTTCTCTTTGCTGACGATACAAACATTTTTTGCTCTGGTGATGATCTGCAGAATTTATTGGAGGATATGACTAATGAAATAAGTAAAGTGAAGTTCTGGCTTGATAAAAACAAATTATCATTAAATTTGAATAAATCTAAACTTATGTTATTTGGAAATAGTAGTTTAAATACAAATGCAAAGATTCAAATAAATGGTGTTGATATTGAAAGAGTCAGTGAAAATAAATTTCTGGGGGTAATAATAGATGAAAAACTTAACTGGAGAGCTCACGTAAGATATATTCATTCCAAAGTATCACGAAGCATTGCAGTACTAAACAAGGCAAAACAGGTATTCGACAGAACATCACTTCATATTCTCTACTGTTCACTGGTTTCACCATACTTAAGCTATTGTGCAGAGGTCTGGGGCAATAACTATAAAACCACATTACATTCACTTTTTACTCTTCAAAAGAAAGCAATTCGAATCATCCACAATGCAGGTTATAGGGAACATACAAACTCACTATTTTTGCAGTCTGAAATATTGAAAATTGACGATATAGTGAAATTCCAAACAGCACAAATTCTATTCAAAGCAAAAAATAAAGAACTGCCAGGTAATATTCAGAGTATGTTTTTTTTGAAAGAAGGAAGTTATAATTTAAGGGGTTTTTGTAACTTCAAAACAATGAAGGTACGTACTACAAGAAAAGGCTTTTGTGTTTCTATTCAAGGAGTGAAACTATGGAACAAACTGAATATGGAATTAAAGCAATGTCCAAACATAAAACTGTTCAAAAAGAGTTATAAAAATATGATCTTCTCGATCTATAAAGAAAAGGAAAATATTTAAATTAAGTGAATGTCTCTATTTAAAAACAAACAAACAAAAAATTCATGATGTGATATTATAGTATATAGTATATCAGAAATCTGTTCACTATTTTTATTACAAATTATATCAGTAAGGAAGCTGACTAAATATTCACTGATAATTTATGGGACAGGGGTGGGATTAAATAAGTGTATACTTCTTCCCACTCCCTTTCAACATGTAAATTAATCAGAATGTTTTTTTGTATGTAATTAGTATAGTATATTTTTTTTTCTCTCATTTCTTTTCTAAATGTACTTGTATATTGTTCACATGTTGAAATAAATTACCAATCAATCAATCAATCAATCACATCTAGGTTTGTCAGACCACATGTGCATGCTGCTAATCCCTGCATACACTCCTGTTAGGAGGAGAGCCTCCCCAGCCACAAAGACTGTGAAAACCCTGTCAGAAGGTGCATCACATGCACACACAACATCAGTGCTCTCATATATTAACTTCTGTGTCAACAGTGCCACTGCGGATAAACGTTTCCAGGTGTATTCCAACCAGAAACCCTGGATGACTAAAGAGATCCAGGTCCTGCTGAAGCAACGTGATGTTGCTTTCAGATCCGTTGATGGTATGCAGTACAGTGCAGCCAGATCTGACCTGAAAAAAAAAGGTATCAGAAAGGCCAAGGCAGCATACAAGTGGAGGATTGAAGACCACTTCAGCAACAACAACTTACAACAAGTATGGCAGGGAGTTCAGCACTTAACCAACTACAAACCTGGCAGTACCACGTTGACTGAGGGCAATGTGGCACTTGCAGAGGAGCTGAACCACTTCTTCACATGCCTTGAGGTGAAGGTACCAGAGGCAGCAGCAGCTAAAACATCGGACAGCAGCAGCAGCCCAAGCCTCATGGTGCAGGATTATGAGGTGGTGCGCACACTGAGGTCAGTGAACCCCAGGAAGGCCGCCGGTCAAGATGGGGTGACCGGAAGGTTTCCAAAAGAATATGCAGACCAGCTGGCCCGGGTCTTCACTAAGATCTTCAATGTTTCACTGTCTCAGTCCTGCATCTCGCTAAAGTCGGCCACAATTGTCCCACTGCCAAAGAAAACCAACATTAGCAGCCTCAATGTGACATTGCAACTGGTCCAACAACACATCATGTCCTGCCTGCCACCCACACTTGACCCGCTCCAGTTTGCATACAGAGCTAACAGATCAACTGAAGATGCCATTCCTACAATGCTCCACACCTCCATCTCTGACCTGGAACAACAGGGTGTTACGCCAGGCTGCTCTTTGTTGACTTTAGCTCTGCTTTCAATACGATACTCACAGACAGACTGATAGTTAAACTGCTGGATATCGGACTTCCTTCTACTACCGGCCGCTGGATCGGAGACTTCCTGTCAGACCGTGTACAGAGAGTTAAAGTGGGGCCTCATCCTTCCTCAGCCCTCAGCCTTAACACTGAAGGAGGAAGTCTGTGCTGCAGCCTGTCAGCATCAATGGGGAGTGTGTGGACATAGAGTCAGACCTCCAATGGAGCTAAAACACCTCGGTGGTTTTAAAGAAGGCCTAACAGTTTCTCCACTTTCTGAGAATCCTCAGAACAATGGACCTGAAGAGGGAGCTGCTGTTCGTCTTCTACCGCTGCTCCATTGACAGTGTACTTACATACTGCATCTCTGTATGGTTCTCCAGCTGCACCACCGCACACAAAAAGGCACTTCAGAGGGTCATTAATATGGCCCCAAAAATAATTGGACATCCTTCCCTCTCTGAAGGACCTGTACAGCACTCGCTGTCTCCAGCATCCTACACTGTACCAAGAACTTATAACTAAATATTTTATAATTATGCAAATATTTATATATACAAAGTGCAACAATAATTAATGTGCAATAATAACAGTGTGCAATACACATACACTTATTCATAATTTTATTACTATTATTACTATTAACACTTATTAATTTAAGTTACTATATCGTGTTGTGTTGTACGTTTTTCCCAAGGTTATAAATGTCCAGTTACTTCAGTCTGGTGCACGTAATCTCGAAATCCCATCTTGTGCGGCTGGAAAGGCTGCCTTCCAGAATGATTGGTCGCTGCTTTGTCAACCCCAGTCAAACCCAGAAATCACTGACACAAGTTTGTTCTGTTAATTTGAAATAAATCAGTCTTCACAAACAGATTTTCTGAGGTTTTTTATTTGCCGTTGCAAAGACAAACAACAACACAGAGTACAGCAGCAGTCTGTATTTCTTTAGATTAAGAATAAAAACAAGAATCAAATCATTTATAGAAACACCTTATCTACCTGCCACAGTCACAGAATACAATCAGAACATTACATGCAGCTGAGTATGTCTTGTATTACAAAATAATATGGAGACAAACACACTGAGATGCATCGTTCATTTCAGTTAGGCCTGTATAACAAAGAGAAGCACAGAATCTTAACATTTTCCATCACATTACTGAAGTCTGACAGACGCAGAAGGATCAGTCAGTGTCCATCAGATCTTCTACTTCCATATTTCACTGTCGAAATTTTCATCATTACATACCTGTGACATACAGCATGATGACAAACTCATTCACTCTCTGGATATTAGATTTCAACATGATATAGCTTTTGTGATCTTTGGGCATCAATGTAGCACAAACTAAAAGTGATAAACTGTAAAGACATCCATGACATTACATTAACACCATTAGGCACAAAATGTGATTTATTTAAACTATAATGAACATGAGCATTGAATAAATAGAAGAATTCAACATGAAAACTGAACCTGAAGCTTCAGTTTGCTCTTTTTTTATATTATCTTTCCTATATGGAAATTTAAACATGCAGATGCATTTTGGTTTTCCACTGAAAATGTGATTTACAAATATTAGAGCTGTAAACATTTTTCAGAGATAAAAAGACAGAAAACACATTCTGAGTTTGTTTAGCTCAATGCAACAAAAACTCACCTCATTTTGATACGGCTGAACTTTTATTCCCTTAAAAAGACAAGAGAAGGAAACAAACTTAGCTTTCACAGAGAATATCCAGGTTTATCAAATCTTCCCATTTAAATGTGAATGTTCTCACCTGCCGATCTTGTCCAAATGTGGATGACCACAGCAGCTGTTATGAGTGTTGCTACACCCACAGCCACAATGATGAACCTCCACCAGCACCAGCCTGGAAAGAAAATAAAAAACACATTAAAATACTTTAAATATAGTTTTCTGTTCTTTTCTCAACAAAAGCCCCCTCAACAATCAAATGGAAGATTCTGGTTATGTTTAGATAAAATCTATGTTGCTGTAGATCTATAACATCATGAACCTGACTTCTCTTTTTGCTTCTGCCCCCATTACAACCTCTCTGCAGGATATTCCTCAAAGTGTATAAATGCAAATGACATCTTAAAACCACACAGAATAGTTTAATAGTTGTAACAGATGAAGTTATTGAAAGCGCTGAATTTTATGAATACAGGTTTACTTACTTTTGAATTCTCTGTAGTATTTAATGCTCCGTGTGGTTCTTAGTTTGTTTGTACTTGGGTAACATTTGTTCAAGTAGCTTGAGTCTCAAGTCTGTTTTGAGGTTATTTGGTTTAGTCTTTTGTTCTTTTTCCTTCCCTTCTCTGTCAAGTTCGTATGTTAGTCATTGTCTCAGTACTTAGTGTCCGCCATGATATGTTGAGCTAATCTCTATTGTTATTTAGATTGTGTTTAGTTTTTTTTCAAGGACGGCTACAAGGCACAATCCCGCCCCCCGTTTGGCAAATCTGATCACGCCGCCATCTTCCTCATGCCAAAATACAAACAAAGGCTAAAACAGGAAGTTCCGGTTCAGAGGAAGGTCGCGCGCTGGACGGATCAATCGGTGGCCGCGTTACAGGACGCACTCGATGACGCAGACTGGGGCATGTTCAGAAACAGCTCCGACGATGACGTCAACGTGTTTACGGATACGGTTGTGGGATTCATCGGGAAACTAGCGGATGATACCGTGGAGACAAAGACTATCACAACGTTTCCCAACCAGAAGCCGTGGGTGGATAAAACCATCCGCAACGCTCTGAGATCCCGCACCGCTGCCTACAACACGGGACTCATGACGGGGGACATGGACCCGTACAAAGCCGCGTCATATAACATGCGGAGGGCGGTGAAAGAGGCGAAGCAGCGCTACGGGAGGAAACTAGAGTCACAACTCCAACAGAGTGACTCTAGGAGCCTGTGGCGGGGACTAAGGACAATAACGGACTATAAAGCACCAACAACTGGCAGACGAGCTGAACACTTTCTATGCTCGCTTCGAGGCTGCAGCTAAGGTCTCCAACAATGCTAGTGTTAGCGGCGCTAACGGCTGCAGACAGGAAGATACTGCCAGCACCGGAAACGTGCTCGTCATCTCCGAGCATGAAGTAAGGAGAGCCTTCAAGAGAGTGAACACCAGGAAAGCAGCAGGACCAGACGGCATCCCAGGTCGTATCCTAAGAGACTGCGCATACCAGCTAGCTCCTGTGTTCACTGAGATATTCAACATCTCTTTATCTCAGTCGGTGATCCCCACATGCTTCAAAGAGTCCATCATTGTTCCTGTCCCGAAGAAACCCCACCCTGCTTCTCTCAATGACTATCGCCCTGTAGCCCTCACCTCAGTAGTGATGAAGTGCTTTGAACGCCTGGTCAGAGACTTCATCATTTCTCACTACCAGACACACTGGACCCACTACAGTTCGCTTACCGTCCAAATCGTTCCACAGACGATGCCATCTCTCATCTCCTCCACACATCACTCACTCACTTGGACACTAGAAGGGGGAATTATGTTAAAATGCTCTTCATAGACTACAGCTCTGCATTTAACACCATAATTCCCTCCACACTCACCACCAAGCTGGAGCATCTGGGACTCAGCTCATCTATGTGTCAGTGGATCTCCAACTTCCTAACTGGCAGACCACAGGCAGTAAGGATGGGCGGACATGTCTCAGCCTCCACCACTCTCAGCACTGGAGCCCCCCAGGGGTGTGTTCTGAGCCCCCTGCTGTACTCTTTGTACACATATGACTGTGTGGCCACTACCAGCTCCACCACCATCATCAAGTTTGCTGACGACACCGTCGTGGTGGGCCTGATCTCTGATAACAACGAGACGGCCTACCTGAAGGAGATTAGGAATCTGGAGAACTGGTGCCAGAGGAACAACCTCCTTCTAAACGTCAGTAAGACAAAGGAGCTGATAGTGGACTTCAGCACTAAGCAGGAGAGGAACTACCAGACCCCCGTCATCAACGAGTGCCCAGTGGAGAGAGTGGACAGCTTCAAATACCTCGGAGTTCACATCACGCAGGACCTGTCATGGTCCTGTCACATCAACACCGTGGTGAAAAAGGCCCGACAGCGTCTCTACCACCTCAGACGCTTGAGAGACTTCCAACTGCCCTCCAAGGTGCTCAGGAACTTTTACTCGTGCACCATAGAGAGCATCCTGGCGGGAAACATCTTAACCTGGTTCGGGAACAGCACCATGCAGGACAGACGAGCTCTACAGAGGGTTGTGCGGTCAGCTGAGCGCACCATCCGCTCCGAGCTCCCTGACCTGCACTCAATCTACAGCAGGCGGTGCTGGACCAAGGCCAGGAAGATCGTGAAGGACCTCAGCCATCCCAACAACAGACTGTTCTCTCTGCTGAGGTCAGGAAAGCGATTCCGCTCCCTGAAGACCAACACAGAGAGACTGAGGAGGAGCTTCTTCCCGCAGGCGATACGGTCTCTCAATCACACCACCACACAGTACTGACCCACACATATGGTTCTTACACACACACTGGACTTTCTGGACTTTGGTTTTGCACAACACTGGTCACTATATTCTTCATTTCCGGTTAATACTTGTACAGCTGCTGTTATTGTGTATATATTTATTTATATTTAGATTTCTTCATACATTCTTATATAGTTCTATATTGTGTATTGTGTATTTTGTTGTACAGTTATTTTATTTTCAACTTTAATTTATATATTTTATCTTATTCTCCCAGTTAAATTTACCCTTCATTCTAATTTGTGTTGTACAGTTATTTCATTTTTAACCTTAATTTATATTTTATTCCTTCCTAGTTAAATTTACCCTTTTTAATTTTTCATATTTATTTCCTTTCTTATTCATAGCCTTTTCCTTTTTTGTTTTCTTTAGGTCACGAGCAGTTGTCCAAGCATTTCACTACATATCGTACTGTGTATGACTGTGTACGTGACAAATAAAAATTTGAAATTTGAAATTTGAATTTGAATTTGAGACTCTTAGCCAGGACTTTTCATCAAACATCAATGTCTGACCTCAAAAATGGTCAAAAATTCCCAGAAACACTCTTAAACCTTGTGTAAGAATGCAGCGGGTTGCAGAGAGATGCAGAGAATCTTACCAAGGAGACCAGCATCCAGATAACTGAGCTGCAGGTGACTAAAGCGGCAACTTGACAAGGAAACTAGAGGTAAGTACAGTGAATGAACACAGAAACAGGATGCAACAATGCCTGGTTACCACCAGAGGTAGCTGACAAACTGGCAGAGAATAGATGACTGCGCTGGGCTTAACACTTAGATTGTCATTGTCATCAATGGATGGCAGGTGAGAAACCAGGGCAGACACAGGTAGACACAGGATGAGAGCGGAAAAACACCACACGCTTCCTCGGCTCATGACAATTTGGAGAGGAGAGCCGTGCGCTGGAGCATTCTGAAAAGTGTATTTTGGTAGTCAAGTTTCCTGTTGGTATCTGGATTACACCTTTTGAACAACATGTTTGTGATGCCCCTGATGAGGCTCAATATGTTAATACAGTGGGGCAAAAAAGTATTTAGTCAGCCACCGATTGTGCAAGTTCCCCCACTTAAAATGATGACAGAGGTCAGTAATTTGCACCAGAGGTACACTTCAACTGTGAGAGACAGAATGTGAAAAAAAAATCCATGAATTCACATGGTAGGATTTGTAAAGAATTTATTCGTAAATCAGGGTGGAAAATAAGTATTTGGTCACCTCAAACAAGGAAAATCTCTGGCTCTCACAGACCTGTAACGTCTCCTGTAAGAAGCTTTTCTGTCCCCCACTCGTTATCTGTATGAATGGCACCTGTTTGAACTCATCATCTGTATAAAAGACACCTGTCCACAGCCTCAAACAGTCAGACTCCAAACTCCGCCATGGCCAAGACCAAAGAGCTTTCGAAGGACACCAGGAAAAGTATTGTAGACCTGCACCAGACTGGGAAGAGTGAATCTACAATAGGCAAGCAGCTTGGTGTGAAAAAATCAACTGTGGGAGCAATCATCAGAAAATGGAAGACATACAAGACCACTGATAATCACTCCTCAGCCTCCCTGGGAAAGTCTATGCCAGGGTGCTGGAAAGGAGAGTTCGTCCGCTAGTCGAACCTCGGATACAGGAGGAACAATGCGGTTTTCGTCCTGGTCGCAGAACACTGGACCAGCTCTTTATCCTCTCCAGGATACTTGAGGGTGCATGGGAGTTTGCCCAACCAGTCTACATGTGTTTTGTGGACTTGGAGAAGGCATTCGACCGTGTCCCTCGGGGTGTCCTGTGGGAGGTGTTGCGGGAGTATGGGGTGTCTGGCCCATTGCTACGGGCCATTCGATCCCTATACAACCGTTGCAAGAGCTTGGTTCGCATTGCCGGCAATAAGTCGGACTCGTTCCCGGTGGGTGATGGGCTCCGCCAGGGTTGCCCTTTGTCTCCGGTTCTGTTCATAATTTTTATGGACAGGATTTCTAGGCACAGCCAAGTGGCGGAGGGCTTTCGCTTTGGTGGCCTCAGAATCTCATCTCTGATTTTTGCAGATGATGTGGTTCTGTTGGCTTCATTGGGTGAGGGCCTCCAGCTCGCACTGGAATGGTTCGCAGCCGAGTGTGAAGCAGCGGGAATGAGGATCAGCACCTCCAAATCTGAGGCCATGGTTCTCAGCCGGAAAAGGGTGGAGTGCCCACTCCGGGTCGGGGATGAGTTCCTGCCCCAAGTGGAGGAGTTCAAGTATCTCGGGGTCTTGTTCGCGAGTGATGGGAGAAGGGAGCCGGAGATCGACATACGGATTGGGGCTGCAGCTGCAGTAATGCAGACGCTGCACCGGTCCGTTGTGGTGAAGAGGGAGCTGAGTGTAA